CGATGTTTCAACTTCTAGAAATATAGCTAGAAGAAAAAAATTAGAAAAGGGGCGTATACCATGAGTCTGTGTCACCCGGTATATGGAGAACTAAAAGTGGCACAATTCTGGACATTCGTAATGACGGTGAAGGAAACATGAAGCATCCAACTAAGATATTTTTGTTATCGTCAAGCTTCCGTTTTTTCCAGAAGTGAGGGCATCTTTTTTTTTTCAATATAAATTACACCCTGAATTTTTTTACATTTCTCTATTCCTCTATACTATTGAAGCTCCGGACAGTAATTTTCCTCAAAATATGGCCTCTTCAAGTCATGATTTTGATTCAAAATTATGTATCATACCCTAATTTAAATTTTTAGTGCTATGCATTGATTAAATCGTGAATATTGATTGATCTGGAACATTGAAAATCTCATTTTTTTTCAAATGAAAACCATATTTTTTCCCATCATAATTCAATTCTATAATAAAAATGAGCCCTAGTTCGAAGTGACTTCCCTATACCCAGAACCAAAAATTTTGGAGATATTCCATAAATAGTTTTTAATCCTGCATACTTTTACTTAAGTATATATATATATACCTAAAATGAAGCGTGCTTGACTTATTCGTGTTTTTCTGGAAAAAGTATGCAGGATTAAAAACTATTTTTGGAATATCTCCAAAATTTTTGGTTCTGGGTATAGGGAAGTCACTTCGAACTAGGGCTCATTTTTATTATAGAATTGAATTATGATGGAAAAAAATATGGTTTTCATTCGAAAAAAATTGAGATTTTCAATGTTCCAGATCAATCAATATTCACGATTTAATCAATATGCATATCACTTAAAATTTAAATTCCCATAAAAATTTTCTATGTTCAAAAGGCTGCATTGAATGACAAATTTTGTCGAACTTTTTCAAGAAAAACTCGAATAACTCAAGAACGCTCCATTTTGGGTATGAGGTATGATGCATTAATTTGAATCAAAATTATGAGAGGAATTCAAAAATGTTGAATAATACAGGGTGTTCCATTGGAAATAACAAAGATGAAGTCACTTTCGGAAAAATCAGAAGCTTCACAATAACGAAAATATTTTAGAAGGATTTCCCATAATTCCTTCATCGTCCCTACAAATTTTAAGAATCGTGCTACTTTTAGTTCTCCATATATAGATCGCGTTAACTGTTGAAGATATACCCTGTATAATAGTGAAGAAATTAACTTGAATGAGATCAATGGATCAATCCAACTATGCGAACACATCATGTAGCCAAGAACATCCAATATCTGCTCCTCATCGCTCCTTCCGTTGTAGCATATGGAAACCAATCCCTGCTCAATATTTAAAATTATTCCAAGGTAATGGTCCAGATGTCTTTTGTGATTTGGCATCTGGAAATCAATATAAGAACAATCAATTGATTTCTCTTTGCCCATTTCCTGTTGATCATCTATACAACTATAATAGGGTAAGTATAGATAAGAAATACTATCTTATAGAGTGAGTAGAGAATAACCATAATGAGAATATTGAAAAGTGTTTGAGTCACTTCATATCTACATACCTACTATTTCATACCGGGTGACAACGGAGATAGAGAATAGCTGCGGCGCATTTTTTCGTTCCATTCATGTTGCTAAAATTTTGTTCTTAATCAGACTTTGGGCCCACCTTAGGTCCCACCACTTATAGTTCAACCGTGAGTAGCACCAATTCTTATATATATGTAGGTACAATCAGAATGTGCACGTTCACTCACACCCTGATCTCAAAATGATATCTTCAAAGCTAACATTGTAAGTATCATCATCGTCTTGAAATTGCGACGTGTCGTCTACCCTTTCCTCATTGTCAACCAGTATTGTATCAAGTTATGAACGTTGTAGGTAATCGTACTTACCCTGTAACTTAGATGAGAAGCACATAGCATCTTTAGTCAATCATAATTTACTATTAGAAAAACATGCTTCAGTATGTGAGCAATAACGTCAAACCCGAACTGCATACTAACACCGAATGAACTGGAACATCGAAATGGACGATACGAAAGCATGCCACTGCTGAAGAATTTACGGACACGTGTACATTAGTCAGACCGACACCGACCGAGTGTGTACGAATCTTATCATAAGTCACATTGTGCGCTACATTCATGAGTATGAGAGTAGACCGATAATTCCAAGTATTGTTCGATATTAAATGAATTTCCTTGAGATGTGAGAGAGATTCACAAATTGACGCATATTTTTGTTTTATCATTCTGCACAATGTGAAGCAGTTTGTCAATTAAGATACATCGAATTACGACTCTCAACTACTGAAATTTTAGATTCCAAAATTATAGTCTCTGTTATGCCAAGGAGCTTCTTCGATATTATATCCATAATGGTCTCAGATCCTACAGAATGTGATGGAATTTGCGAACTATCTGTCACACGAGGAATTCCGTGTAGATATCAGCGATGTAATATTGTGATTCGCTTTTATGACATCAACTGCCATGAATGCGACATCTCATAGATGTTTGTGTTAACTGGGTAGTTTTTTCTTCGGTGATTACGATGTCGAAAATGAAACAACAATGTAACATTTCCTTCAGGAGTTACTTCAAAATGTTCAATTTCGTTAAATGGGACACCCAGTAAACAATGTACTTAATCAATAGCAAATTTGATTCTGAACAAAAACTGTCCCATAATCTTTTACTGAGCTATCCATGATTTTTATGAGTGATTCTGATGTATTCTGTTAGTCTAGGATGGTCCAGGTATTATTTGCCATAACTTTGCTTTACTAATGTTAACAGAAATCATCAATAGCTTCGTCATTTTTGAATTTAGGATAAAAGTTTATTAGAGTAGAGTTCTTGTTCAGAATCAAATTTCCTAAGGATTGAGAATATTGCACACTAGGTGTGTCCCATTTAAAAAAAAACTGTACTAGTGAACGTGATGTAAGATTTTTGTTTGGTTTTCATCATCAAAATCAGCAAAAAAAATACTACATACATCATTTATGTAAGGATTAGTTGACTTTTCAATATCATGATTAATGATACTCTTCTTGTAACTAGTAAAAATATATGGGAACTAAGATACAATTAATAAAATGAGATATTTCTATATGTTCAAACTGTGAAGCAACACCCAATAAGTAATCAGTGAATTTCATGAATTTGCAATTTTTTTTATCAAATGCATGTTTATGTACATCATCATGTTCATTGCAAAATTGGTAGAGCAATGTTTTGGAAAGTTTATCATAGTTCAATAACAATACTTTCATGTGAGTGATAAGAGATTATGGAGAAGAAGCCCAAAAAAAATAATCCTAGAAAAACTTCAACAAAAACAGACAATTTGGGAAGTTTCTCACCAAACATCAAATAGTTGATCAAAAGTTGAGATAGGGACATGTGAGCCGTTTTGACCAATAATGAATAGTTTCGACAAAAAAAATTTCTAAAGTTGAAAAATGACGATTTTTCACACCCTATATCTCTGTAATCATTTCCGCTAGACTCGGCTAGACCCCAAGTGTGATGCATCGATGAAATCAGCTCTTCAGAGAGAATCTGAAAATGCAATAAAATACAGGGTGTTCCATTTTAAATAACAAAGTTGTTGCTACTTTTCGATAGAAGCGGCAACGCTGCAGAGCTGAAAATATTTCAGATCGATAGACCAAGAGCAACTACGTGAGTAACCAAAATTTCAGAATGATCCTATGTCCCGTTCTCCATAAACGTCTAACGTACCATCGACCGTGAGTTACCCTGTATAATATTGTACAGAAAAGAATTGGATTGGAGAAGTTGAATTTAATTATTCATAGGTTGAGATGAATTGTTTGGAATTGTTCTCGGAATCGTTTGAATTTGTATAATTTTGAAAAAATAGAAAATATGGATAAAATATTTGAAAAAAAAATATATATAAGTATATGAAAGTATTGTGAATTCACTAAGTATTATACCTATACATCAAATGACAATGCTATAATAATATCAGCTTGTGTTTTTCGATGAATGATAAAAAGGATTTGAAGGTTTTTTCAAATTGAGAAGAAAATGAGAAAAAACTTGTATAAAGATAAGTACAGGGTGATTCACCATAAATGTCCCCCCCTCCAGCTCACTTATTTTTGAACCGTTTTAAAAATTTGAAAGATAATCTAAAATAATTTTTCTGAAATTTTTTTCCCGCTGCATCAGAAAATACAGGGTGCTCGGAACAAACGATCTACAGAGTACTAATTGATTTTTTTAAATGGAACACCCTGTATTTTATTGTATTTTTAGATTCTCCCTGAAGAGCTGATTTCATCAATGCATCACACTTGGGGTTTAGCGGGAATGATTACAGAGATATAGGGTGTTCAAAATCGAGATTTTTCAACTTTAGGATTTTTTTGTGTCAAAACTACTCATTATTGGTCAAAACGGCTTCTATATGTCCCTATCTCAACTTTTGATTCACTATCTACTGACATTTAATTGAAACATTTACAGGGTGGTTCAAGATTCAGAATTCTGATGATCTCCCTGTATCTGTTCCAATTAGCAAATGTCAGTAGATATAGTAAATCAAGAGTTGAGATACGGACATAGAAGCCGTTTTGACCGATAATGAATCGTTTCATCACAATAAAAAAATCCTAAAGTGGAAAAATCTCGATTTTGAACACCCTATACCTCTGTGATCATTCCCGCTAGACATTGATCGAAGCAGCTCTTCAGGGAGAATCTAAAAATACAATGAAAAATAGGGTGTTCCATTCAAAAAAATCAAATAGTACCCTGTAGATCGTTTGTTCCGAGCACCCTGTGTTTTCTGATGTAGCGGAAAAAAACTTTATCAAAAATCATTTAAGATTATCTTTCAAATTTTTAAAACGGTTCAAAAATAAGTATGCTAGAGGGGGGGACATTTATGGTGAATCACCCTGTACGTCATTGAATGTGTGTAGGTACCTATAAGTTAATAAGTAGGTATTTGATAATCTCACCAGCAATCAAATTGGCCATAGTACCACTGGCAAGAAAAACAGCATCCTCTTTCCCTAAGAGTTCAGCACTGGCCCTTTCCAGATCAGCAACTGTAGGGTCTTCACCATACACATCATCCCCAACTTCAGCAACAAACATAGCCTCTCTCATTTCCTGGGTGGGCCGCGATATAGTGTCTGTCCTCAGATCAATGATTTTCACATCATCTCCAAGTTCGGTTTTCACGATTTTTTCATACATCTTCACTCAATAATCTCTTCAAACTGCTCTGATCTAGTGGAATGAAAAATGAAATGATATTCCTTCCTTTTATATTGAGAGGCGGTAGGTAGGGAGAGGTATAGAGATTGTGAAATATATTATGCGTTAGATAATTATTTCAAAACACTATTATTAGTATTATTATACAGTATAGTTCACTATAGTTTGACGACTAGCAAGAGCAACAAATAAATCAATGAAAAGACAAATTGCATCATGATTTGACTCTTTATCGAAGACCTGTATTTTTTGAAAAAATTGACCGATCTTCATGCAGTTTTCGATATCAGATGTGATATTTCATCGGCCTCAAAGAGAGCTAGAACACTCTGAAAAAGTCCGCAGAACGAAACTTACACAGGGTGTAAAGTGGAACCATTACACACTATGGTCTACGACATTTCCAATGCTGCCAGAACTCGAAAAAAATTTTTCTGATCAAAAGTCAGTCATATTATGATACACTGGGACCTCATCTATTGGGACATTTTCGTGATTTCTCCTCAATTGGCCTTTGGAACAAAAATTAGATTTTTATTCAAAATTCTTGATGCATTTCTTGAATTTTTTCTGTAGAATTCCACTTGCGCTGAATATTGGGAAGAACTGTTCTCATGTTTTGTGGATGACAATGAGAGACGAAAAAAGCACCATTGTGGAATATACAGGATGATAAGAAAATAGGACAAAATCTCTTTTCAGTAAAAAAAAAATAAAAAACGGTGACTAAAACCATGGCCCATTCGATTCAGTATATTCAGACGGCCCTCTCGATATCTATTATTTTTACTATATAGACTATATTAATTAACTCGAGACGTTTCCGAAAATTCACCTCTCTAATTGAAATACAGGTTGAAAATTCTCAATTGAAACTTATTGTTTCCTGATATCGATGATTTTTATCAACTGATTTCCAATATTTATTGCCCAAGTATGAGACACAGAGTATTTTTGTTCAATATACTGAGTGTTTCACAACTTATCTGACAAATTACGAACTCTCTAGAGAAAACAATATATATATAATGTTAAAAGAATGTGGCGGCCAGCATTATCTCCAGATCTGAATCCGATTGAACATGTGAACAATAGACTTCATCAGCAACCTCATATAGAATCTATGCCAAACCCATTTCATGAGGTTTTGTTAAATCAGGGATGCCCTACTATACTATAAGTACTGAAATTCATAGGATATAGGACTTTTTAGTTGGATCTTCATAATGCTGAAGAAATCACTATAGATGTCATATTTCCCCAATAGAGCCCATTTCGAATTGTTTTAGTGGATATATATAGTCTTGTTATAAATTTTATTTTCCATCTCGTTTTACTTCTATAAAATTTTCATGTGATCGACTTCTAATATGTATATAATATATATTATATTGTAGTTGTGGTTGAAATTTGTCAGATGAGTTGTGAAACACTCAGTATATTGAACAAACAATACTCTGTGTCTCATACTTGGGCAATAAATATATTGGAAATCAGTTGATAAGAATCATCGATATCAGGAAACAAGTTTCAATTGAGAATTTTTCATCCTGTATTTCAATTGGAGCATTGGAGGTGAATTTTCGAAAAGGTCAGGAGTTAATCGAGGAATTAATAGTCTAATATAAATAATAGATATCTAGAAGGCCGTTTCTGCATATACTGAATCGTTTTAGTCACCGTTTTTTATTTTTTTTTACTGAAAAGAGATTTTGTCCTATTTTCTTATCATCCTGTATATCCCACAATGGTGCTTTTTTCGTCTCTCATTGTCCACCACGAAACATGAGAACATTTCTTTCCAATATTCAGCTCAAAGAAAAAAATCAAGAAATGCAAGACTTTCGAAAAAAAATTTAATAGATGAGGTCCCAGTGTGTCATAATATGACTGACTTGATCAGAAAAAAATTTCTCGATTTCTGGCAGCATTTTGGAAATGTAGACCATAGTGTAATGGTTCCACTTTTCACCCTGTGTAAGTTTTGTTCTGCGGACTTTTTCAGAGTGTTCTAGCTCTCTTAGAAGCCGATGAAATATCACATCTGATATCGAAAACTGCATGAAGATCGGTCAATTTTTTCAAAAAATACAGGTCTTCGAAAAAGAGTCAAATTATGAGTGGTCCATTTAGTGTGTTGAGAACTGTATATTGGACAGGTTTAAAGAAATTGTTTAACAATTTTGAAATCGTTCCACATTATTTTTAATTAAATATTATGCAATAGGGTTGTCACCTTTTGAAATCTGTCGACCCAGAGATTGTGATGTTTGATCAAAGAGGTTTGATGTTTGGTTCAAGGTAGTTCAAGGTTAACCAGTGACCAGTGTTGCCAGAAGAAGAAAAGCTAATTGTACTGAAATCACTATTGAATTGTACTCAAACCAAGTGAAATGTACCAGACATGAAATATTTTGCAAAAAAATATGAGAAAATTGATGAACCATAATTTTCATTTTTCATTGTCAGAAATGAGTATATCATATATAAAAAAAGTAAAAAAGAAGAAAATGAAATAAAAAATATCCTATAGCTACATAGCTAATAAATACAAAACATATACAGGGTGTCCCTAGACCAGTGGGACAGTTGAATATCTCCTAAACCAATAGGAATTTTCGAAATATTATAATTCCACATCATATCGCATTATGAGTGCTAACTTCAGGAATGACTATATTTTCTACAAAATCGAACATCAATTTTTTCAAATGGAACACCCTGTATTTTATTGCATTTTCATAATCTCCTTGAAGAGCTGAATTCAACGACCTAGCACACTTGGGCTCTAGCGGAAATGATTTCCGAGATATAGGGTGTGGAAAATCGAGATTTTTCATTTTTGGGAATTTTTTGTGTCAAAACTATTCATTATTGGTCAAAACGGCTAACATGTCCATATCTTAACTTTTGATTCACTGTTCACTCGTATTTAATTGAAACAAATACAGGGTCGTGGTGTGGAATTCCGACTGAAACTGAGAATTCTACACCACCCTGTATTTGTTCAATTCAAATACGACTGAATAGTAAATCAAAAGTTGAGATATGGACATGTAAGCCGTTTCGACCAATAATGAATAGTTTTGACACAAAAAATTCCCAAAAATGAAAAATCTGGATTTTCCACACCCTATATCTCGGAAATCATTTCCGCTAGAGCCCAAGTGTGCTAGGTCGTTGAATTCAGCTCTTCAAGGAGATTATGAAAATGCAATAAAATACAGGGTGTTCCATTTGAAAAAATTGATGTTCGATTTTGTGAGCCTTTCTTGTGCCCCTCGTAGAAAATATAGTCATTCCTGAAGATAGCACTCATGATGCGATATGATGTGGAATTATAATATTTTGAAAATTCCTATTGGTGCAGGAGATATTTAACTGTCCCACTGGTCTAGGGACACCCTGTATACATCAGAAGATTATGAAATAAAATATTTTTATTGAACATAATCGAAAAACAAATCACAAAAAATGAAAAAAAACATGATATGGAAACAAAATAACAATTCATAAATAGACAAAATTAAAAACAATTCATAGAAAAACAAAAAAACAGTCTTATATACAGGGTGTTCCTTTGGGAAACGGAAATACTTTAACGGTGGATAGAGGTGACCAAGGTGGTTCTGAATATACAATATTTGTTGGGTCTTACATGTTTTATTATCGAGATATAGGGTCGTGTTTTATCAATTCTGGTCATTTCTTTGAAGGCTCTTAGCATACGAACCACCTGGTATATTTTCTTCACATTTGGTAGACGTGTTCTCCCACTGCTATTCCAGCGACTTGAATATCCGTCAGAAAAAAAATCCAGGCCCGGATTAACAAAAATTCAACATATTTTTGGGTCCTCGAATAAGCACCCTGTATGTTTGAAATTTACAAAATCTGTTTACATATCTGAAGAGAGCACAAAATGTTGAATGGATTTGTGTACTTTTCATGTTTCCGCATGCTATTTTACTATCGAATTTCTGAAGCTGAAATAAACGGAATATTTTCAGTTCTCCATATCGAATTTTGAAAATTTTGCAATTTACAACTCATTTCATTCCATTCAAGAGTCGTTGCCTGCATTTTTATGCCAGTGTATATTCACATCGGGTCCTTACTTTATTCATTTACGTACCTATTTATTTGTTTGAGACATATTTTCATGCACCCTGAATATGTGGATTCACATATTTCAATATTTCTACTGTTTTGATGTTGTTGAAAAATTTTGAATTTCTAAATCAAACTGATTCAAACAAAATTCGCTGCAGAACATTTTTATTCGGGGTTATAAATTAATTATGCCATATTGTATTTTTCCTAATACCCACCCAGACAGCACTGGATATTCATAGAATATTCTCTAAATATGCTGAAAAGGAGGAGTATATTCCGAATATTCATCGATTATTCCTAGAATATATACATGCCTCTGGAACATCTAAAAAGAATATTCCAAAGTGAATAGTCGGACATGTTCAGGGAATATTCAGGTATGAATCTTCTAGGAATATTCCCAACTGAATATTCTCTGTTGTATATTCATGAAATATACCCAACTGAATATTCTGTGCGGTATATTCATGAAATATACCCAACTGAATATTCTGTGCGGTATATTCATGAAATATTCTCAACTGAATATTCTGTGGTGTATATTCATGAAATATTCCATGAATATCCCTATGTTTCTCAACACATAAATAACATTTATTATTTCAGAGATGTGAGTATCGAACATCAATTAGATGTAAGGGGATTTTGAAACAAAAAGTGTTTATGATCCGATTTCGAACAATGCTCTCATAAGAACTTGGTATGTATATCATTATTCAATTCGATTACTGGCCTAGTGGTCAAGGCGTCGCTCTGATAGTCTTGAGGTCACGAGTTCGATCCCTACTTGGGTCACTTTTTTTAATTTTAGAATATGTTTATTGGAATATTCCAGGAACATTCAACATAGAATATTCTTTTGGGTATATTCTATGATTATCTGAGGAATTCCCATTCGCATATTTAGAGAATATTCCACAGATATTCCGGAATATTCCAGATTATTTCTAGAATATTCCAATATCCCAAAAGGAATATATGATAGGGAGATTCATGGAATATCTGGTGCTGTCTGGGTATACCAAGTACTTGAATAAAATCCATCAGTTTCTAATAGGTAAGTGGAATTATAACATCAAAACAATAGAATTATTGAATTATGTGAATCCACATATACAGGATGTGCATGGAAAATATATCTCAAACAAATAAATAGGTATATACGTAAATGAATAAAGTAAGGGCCTGTGAATATACACCCAGACGGCACTTCATATTCCTGGAATATGCCTACTACATCCAATTTTCCAATGAATATTGCATTATCCCTGGAATATTCCATGAATATGTGCTTTATCTAATATCCTCAAAGAATATTTCTGGAATATATTTTTCGAATATTCATTAGATATCCCCAAAGAATATTCCCTGAATATGTTTCTTGAATATCCATTAGATATGCTTTTCGAAAATTCCAGGAATATTTCGAAAGCAGATTGTCGGAATGTCGACCTATCCCGAATGGACACGACACAATAAAAGTCTATCGGTCATCGCCTTTTGTTCCACATTCCACAGTCAGCTAGTGAGGGACGTGATATCAACATGGACGCGAATTATGCCGCGATTGTTTTTATCATAAACAGAATTATTAGTTGAAGCAGAAGTGCTAGAATGTGATGTATCGATCACGGTGAATAGTGTTGACATCAATATAAAGTTTCAGAAGTTTGAGGTTAGTTACAATTGAAAAATGGAACATTAATAACTTAGGATGCACTTCTCTTTTGGCCGCCATTAAACTGAAGAGGATCACAAGGAGGCTCAATGGCACTCAATACCAGTATGAGGTATACCTAAGATTATACATTAATGAATTCATATACAAAGTGTATGTATTATATAACATCGAAAAAATATAAGGGGTGATTCTGTGATGAGAATGAACGAATGAAGGTATTTGGTATACAATTTTTTGATAACCCGCTCTCAACCCCGAATAAGTTACACACATCCGAAGATAAAAAACATGGTTGTTCTTTTTCAACTTTTCTGTATATTTAGTTGAAGACACGGAAATTGGTGAATATCATGTGTTAATAAAACGTCAAGGTCTTCAATATTACCCACGTAATTGAACATGTGGAAGATGCCTACTGGAAAAACCACTATACGGAAAGAAAGCGGATATGTAGCAATCTAGTTACGGACGTTGAAAATATTATTCAGGTATGTCTCAGATTCTATGTATTCCCTCTAATGATATTTCCTGATTCAAATGTACTTCGATTCAAATGTGATATTTAGTTGCAGATCCAAGAAGCTGTGTTTGATACTTGCCACTCAATCGGAGAATACCATCCAGTAAATACGGACCGAACAGAAGACCCGCAAAGAAAACTGACCAGAGTATACTTTACTGAATTCAGATCATTATATTCGTACGGAAGGCGATATATTGATATCCTTTCCAGATTCTCAAGAAAACAGATAAGACAGATATTCAGCTTTATGTCTCTATGGAAACACGACAGGTACCCTTACGAGGGGAGAGTACCAACTCGGCGTTTATAAACCCTCTCTGCAAAGGAGGTAGACGTATGGTGGGTTAGGTATATACAGTGTTCTTCATTGCAGAGAAAAATGTTGTTTATCTGTCTGTCTCGTCTTCATTGAGATAGTTGATGCATTGATGAATTACAAAAATATATCGCGTTCCAGTTATGAATGTTGAAAACAATATCCAGACTTTTCATAGATTCATATTCTATGTAGGTCTCACGATCCCAATTTGAAACTGATACTTAGTTTTAGATCTGAGCAGCTCATTGTTTGGCCTTCAAGGTCCTTAATGTTACCCACGTAATTGAACATGTAGGAGATGCCGGGAGATGCCTTCTGGATAAACCACTACACGGAAAGAAAGCGGATATGTAGTAAAATCTAGTTACGGACGTTGAAAATATTGGGCGTGTTTTTCATTCCATCGAAGAAAGTGCGCACTGGTAGATGCGGTTTTTTGTCGTGACGTCACCAATTGTTCTGTTGGAATTTATGCTGGAAGGATTGAACAATGGTTTATACAACACATTGATGGAAACACGGATTTTGTTGTGTGTCAGTCATCATGTATCTTGAGAGTTGAGAATCAGAAAAGGCTAATTCGACTTCATTGATTAACACTGACTCTTTCTTCTAAAATCTCTCAAGAATCTCAAAAATCCTCAATATTAATTGTTTTCTATCAAATCAAAACAAAAAACAACACTAAAATGTGTCAACTGTCATGTCAATCTCCTCCAAACTGCTGGATTCTCGAAATGCGATTTAAAAGTGCGCATTTTATTACAACAGTTTGATGGATGTCCATCAACATTCCAGCAGAATTTTGCAACAGTTTGATGGTTTCTTCGATTCATGCGCATGATAAAATGTTGGAATGAAAAACGCAACATCTCTATGTATTTCCTCCGATGATATTTTCTGATTCAAATGTACTTCGATTCAAATGTGATGTTTAGTTGCAGATCCAAGAAGCAGTGTTTGATACTTGCCACTCAATCGGAGAAAACCATCCAGTAAATACGGACCGAACAGAAGATCCGCAAAGAAAACTGACCAGAGTATACTTTACATAATTCAGATCATTATATTCGTACGGAAGGCGATATATTGATATCCTTTCCAGATTCTCAAGAAAACAGATAAGACAGATATTCAGATTTAAGAGTTCAATGACGAAACGTCATGTCATAAAAATTGACATGTTTGGCATATTGACAAGAATATTAGCTGAATGTCAATGCCACTAGTCACTGTCAAATTTGCTGTCAAATGTCAAGTCATTGGTCACTTGTCAAGTCATTAGTCAAAGTCAATATTCAATTGTCAATTGTCAAGTCATTTGTTCCGGAATCCGCAATCCGGCAGGCCATCAAAAATCTTGGAAAGTTTTCACATCTGGCGAGTGGATTTTCATTTTTCCGATACATCTCTCCACAAAGTATAAATGACGATGACTGATAATCAGTCAGGGGCAGACGTCCCTTTTGTTGCGCCCGTTATACAAGACAATGCGACTGGATGGGGACCTTGCGAAGTTCCCGACCAATTTAAGGACATGCCGTACCAGCCCTTCAGCAAGGGAGACCGTTTGGGAAAAATCAGCGATTGGACCGGAGCCGCCTTCCAAGATAAGAAATATGCGAGTACGTAACATTCACCAGCAATAACCATTGGAGGTGAGTTGAGGTTACTGTTGTTTTAGATAAGTATACCTCTCAGTTCGGCTCTGGCAGTCAGTATGCTTACTTCCACGACGAAGACGAGAGCACTTTCCACTTGGTTGATACCACCAGGGTGCAGAAGCCCCCATACCAACGTGGACGGTTCCGCGCCAACCAACGAAACATGAGAGGTAGGGGTGGTAGAGGTAATTCTCACCAGTCAGGTGGGATGCAAGCTCTTGGCAAAGGCCTCAAGGCAAGGGATACTTATAAGAGGAGCCAAGTGAAGAGATGGGGGCAAGGACGTGTAAGTATTCATATGACTTATGCATATGTTAGTTCAATCAATCAGTTTAGTCTATAAATGAAATTTGTAATATTTCAGCCTCAAATGAAAATCAGAGATGCATCAGTAACAGTTAAACCAGACTGGAGTACCATTGAAGAAATGGATTTCCCTAGACTTGGGAAATTGTCCTTACCTGGGATCAAAGATGGTGAGTTTTCAACATTGTCTTTTGATTTTCTAACTGCTTTTCATGGCAATCAAATTCTCATTTCTACAATAAGCAAACCCATGATTTAACCTTTATTCCAATCAGACTGATCAATGATCCTATCTATTTACATACCTGGTAGAAATCTTTTCTGTTTCACACCTTATTTCATCATTGAAGCATGATCAACCTATACTACTAGACTACTGGTGTCTACGGTTTGAAATTTATCTATCAAAGTTTTTATATCTTTTAGGTACAATCAATCAATCAAACTTTTATTAAATAAGTTTTCATCTACAATAAAAATTAGGAAATAATCATAACATCATTGTAAAGTACTAGCTAATTCAACTGGTCATACAATGAAAAATGAATATATTTATTAAAAAAAGTTGAAACAATACTTAATATTAACACTAACCATCAACTTGAAAAAAAGAAATTGAGAATGGGTATAAAACCTCAATGATATACTAGACAAATATATTTACAAACAACATCATGAAATAATCTGATGATTGGAATAATTTACTCACATCATGATTCCAGGAGAAGTTCATCAACTGAGTAATATGCAAAAAAAATATTTGAGTTGCCTTTTGAACACATGAAGATTTGAAGACAATTTAATGTCTTCCCTGAAATTATTATATAGCTTAACTCCATAGTACATGGGATGATTCTGTGATACTGAGAATCTACTATGAGGTGGATGCAATTGATTACAATTCCTGGTGAAATGATCATGAATTTGTTTATTTTTGGGTATACTTGAGAAATGATTCCTGATATAATTATATTAAAGTTTGATAGATATACAAACTGGGCATTGTTAAAATATCATAATGTATGAATAATGGCCTGCAATGATCTCTGGATGATGCACCTGCACTGGTACTTTTATTATTGATGCATTTTTCAACTACATTCATCTCCACATGTAATTTGAGGTTGGTAGATGATATGATAGGATAATTTATACAATGATTGGAGAATTGAATCATTCATCTTTTTTTTTATTATTATTTTTTCATTTATTTATTTCACATAATCAGATCCACATAACAGAGCTTGTATAGGATCCCATAATCAATTGATGTATCATACTGTTTTTAAAGTAATACATTTTCCAAGTTTTTCCAAGTTTTCAAAAATAGTACATTTATTTATTTATTTCAGTTATTGCATTACATTCTTTTCTTCATTGATACATTTCATACAAATAATATATAAAGTATAATTAATTTTCTAGTAGGAATGACATGAATGATCAGACAGTAATTCCTGGTATAAGATCATTCATGAAGTATTATCAACTGTTGTATAATTGAAATTATAAATAGTGAACAAAACTTACATATCATTAAGATATCTCAAAATAACAGTCATATTATAGTGAACAAGAAGGGGAAAAATAAAAACAGTAAAAAAAAGGAAATTCATAGTCTTTCAGCTTTGATCATTCCTTTTCATATAAATATATTTCTTCACTTTATTTGTGAATTGCATAATATTTGGGCTGTTTTTGATATCATCTGGTAATTTATTGAATTTCGAAATCGCCTCATGTGTAAAATTTTTTTGCCCAAGTTAAGAATTTGCAGCTTCAAGATGAAACAAGTTATATTGTCTAGTGTGATGATCATGAATTTCGGAATACCTGATTAATATAAAATTTGATTTAAGCTTTTTGTTGATGATATAATAGGAAATTTTGAGAGTATTGATTAAAAAGTGCTCTTCCAAAGAAAATGTGTTTGTTTCCTTATACAGTTGATTCATTGGATTATCATATTGAAGACAATACAATACTTTCAATGCCCCCAAATATATATGAGATAGTTAATTCTACTGAGTATATGTGAATGGAGAATAATATTTGATGTATATGAACTAAGTTTAGGACATCTTCTCAAAGCACCAATAATGGGAGATACTTTGCCTATGAGGATGTCAATATGCTTTCCCCATGTTAATTTCTCATCAATCCAAATACCAAGATATTGAATTATTGCTCTAGAACTTAGTACATGACAAGAAATAGATAAGCACATAAAAAAATATAACATGAAATAATACACATAGAACACATCCCAAACACAAATTGTCAAATCAGGTCATTATTCAGATTGAAATCAAACAACTGCTTTCTGAACGATTTCATACTATCATTATTTCTCAGTTGAGTTGGTCCATTATTATAATGATTAACAGCTTTGCAAGTTATTGAGCTTTGAGTTCTGGTAGATTTGATTCTATTTGGCCGTAAATTGTTTGCCGGTCTTGTTGAGTAATTGTGAAACTGGTTATTAGGAATAAGTTTGATTGTTGTTTTTATGTAGTTAGTATTTATTTTTGAATACTTGTTTGTTATGCTCTTACTTGAGATAATGATAAATTAACCCTTTATCCTCCATATCCATAGATATATTCTTGAGCTCAGAATATTGAGTTGGAATTTGTGATTTTAATGATCTGAAATGTGAATCATACTTTAGGCTTCTGCAATTTTCAGTCTATCATACTTAAGGATGGCCAAGTCAAGATGTGTTTCCTTACATTTCATAAGCAAAATTCTATAAAACCTAATTTTCTAGTTTCAGAATAAATTATTTAATTTTAGGTGAGGATATCAAATGTTGTGGTGAACTGGAATACTATGACAAGACCTATGATCGTGTTAATGTGAAGAATGAAAAGCCACTTCAAAGTGTTAATAGAATATTCCACACAGTAAGTTTTCATTCTCAGAATCTTTATTATTTTGGAGCCATGTTTATTATTGAACCTTCAGCTGTCTCTGCTGATTGAATATATCAATTTTGATATGTATGAGATTTTAAATGGAGAAAATGATGAAAATCTCCACAATTATTATAGGTTACTACCACTGATGATCCTGTTATCCGTAAACTTTCCAAAACTGAGGGTAATGTTTATGCTACTGATACGATTTTGGCCACCATCATGTGCAGCACCAGGTCCTTCTATTCTTGGGATATTGTCATTGAAAAAATTGGTAAGATGATTCCATTGCAGAATTCTACTCTTTTAAATTATATATTTTTAAACTGCACCATATGATTGATGTTTTTATTCAGTCACTCTGTTTTCAGAATCAAAATGTCATTGATAATGATGACAGATAAAAGTACTTTTATGCTGGGTTTATAGATTCAATCAAACTAACAATTATAAATTAACAATGAACAATCAACAATTAATAATCATGAGGGTGTATTAATTGAGAATTGAATGTGAAATGAATTTTGAATAAGGATCAAAATGATGTTAAAAAGTGATTTTGGTCTCTACAATTCATGAATCCATAAAAAATATTCCAATTAAATATCACCAAACTCCATTTGAACTATAACAAAATCCAATCTCCATGTTCTGTCTCCAGAGTTTCCCAATTCTTAGTTGTTAATGTGAAAGTTGGCCAACTCTGTAATTCATAATTCTCAATTTAAATGACATATGTGAATGTTGATGTTTCCTTGTATTGACCTTTTCAAGTTCATAGTTTTTACTTGTTTTAATGAACAAATAAACAATACTTTTCATATACTAGCTGACCTGGCCAAAGGGATTTGGCCATAAACTTTTATTATTTTATTTCTACTTCTTTTTAGTTTGTCTATCCATAAAATCGTGTTTCATCAGTATTTCAAACTACTATTTTTATTTTCTACTTCTTTTTAGTTCAACAATCTATCTCGTTTTTCAAACTATACTATCAATTTTCTACTTCTATTCAGTTTGGCCTCGAGTTAGGCTATCCATAAAAGTGTGTTTCATCATAGTTTTTCAAACTACCATATTGGATCCACCATCTTGAATTTCCCAATTTTACAGAATAAATCATAATCTCCGACCCTGAAAACCCCCAGATACAAATTTTGAATAGAATCCGATCATAATTACAAAACTCGTCCGCCATATCGGATCCTCCATCTTCAATTTCCTAATTTTGATGAAAGAATCATAATCGCCGACCCCAAAATCCCCCAGACACAAATTTTTAAAGGAATCGGATCATAGTTACAAAACTCGTCGGCCATATTGGATCTGCCATCTTGGATTGTCATATCTTGATGAAAGAATCATGATCTCAGAGTCCAAAAACCTTCAGATACCAATTTTGAATAGAATCTGATCATAATTAAAAAACTCGTCCGCTATATCAGATCCGCCATTTTGAATTTCCTAATTTTGACGAAGGAATCATAATCTCCGACCTCGAAAACCCCCAGTTACCAATTTTGATAGAATTTGACCATAATTGCAAAAGTTGTCCGCCATATTGGCTCCGCCATCTTGAATTTCAAAATTTTGACGAAAGAATCATAATTTGCCGACCCCGTAAACCCCCAAATACTAATTTTGATAAAATCAGATCATAATTACAAGACTCGTCCGCCATATTGGATCCGCCATCTTGAATTTCCAAATTTTGATGAAAGAATCCTAATCTCATACTCCGAAAACCCCCAGATATAAATTTTGAATTGAATCGGACCACAATTGAAAAACTCGTCCGCCATATTGGATCCGCTCTTTTGAATTTCCTATTTTTGATAAATAAATCATATTCTCCGAACCCGTAAATCCCCAGATACTAATTTTCAATAAAATCGGATTGTAAAACTCGTCCGCCATATTGGATCCGCCATCTTGAATTTCCGATTCAAGTAATAGATTACGACCGATTCTCATACCTACCCAATACGCACAAAAATGTTCATACAAACATGGAAAATCGAAAGATCATTCAAGTTATGGTTAAGTTTTACTGCCCGTGTACCAGTACTGCCAAAATCGTTTCGAAACGAGATGAAAATCCGGAGCTACTGCTACTGTATAGTGTTCCTGAATTGCTTACTGTGTCCAGTAATGTCAGCAATATCGGAACATGAACAAGTTGTTCAACTACTCTTCCAAATTGGGGATATTCCCGTCCAACTGGAAAATTGCAAGGGTACAACCAGTTCCTAAAAAAGGCAAAAAGACCCTACCTAGCAACTACAGACCGATCGCACTGCTATCTATTATTTCAAAGATCATGGAGAAAGCTATCAACATCGAGCTATCAACGATAGGCAATATGGCTTCCGTCATCAGAGATCAACTGGTGACCTGCTCGCTTACGTCTCACATATATGGCAGCAATCTATTGAAAAATATGGTGAAACCTTAGCCGTGGCACTTGATATCTCCAAGGCATTCGATCGAGCCTGGCACCAGGGACTCCTCGCCAAGCTTCCATCTATGGCTTGCCTCCCCAGCTATGTTCTCTACTAGCTAGTTTACTCTCAAACAGGTCTCTCCATGTAATGGTCGACGGAGTTTCATCTGACTCTCTTATCATAAATGCTGGTGTTCCACAAGGATCAATTCTAGCACCAACACTTTTTCTATTCCATATATCAACGATTTGTTGGAAGCAACTTCATGTCCAGTACACAGCTTCGCTGATGATAGTACCCTCCATACCGACTTCTCTTCAAGGGCTTCATGTACCAGCCAGGCAAATCAGAAACGAACGAGGGAGAAATGTTGACAACATAAATATAGACTTGGCAACAATTCTCGAATGGGGATCCAATAACTTGGTAGATTTCAATGCAAACAAAACACAAGCATGCATTTTCTCTATAAGAGCCGATCTCACTGTGCCCAATATAAGCTTGTCAGGAGTAACCATACCTTTGAAGACATCCATTTCGATGCTTGGGATTACTATTAGCAATAACCTTTCTTGGGAAAATCACGTGTGATCATTGCTAAAACTGCATCCCAAAAACTTGGTTTTCTGTTTCGGGCCAGGAGCTATTTCATTTCCAGTCAACTGTTTATGATCTATAAGGCACAGATCCGACCTGTCCTGGAATACTGTTTTGGAGTGCAGCACCCAAACATACCCTGAAACTGTTGGATTCTGTCCAAAAAAGGGCAATTCGTCTCGTGGGTGATGCCTCGTTCACTAACTCACTCACTTCTCTGGAACACCGTAGAAAAGTTGGTGATCTGGCTCTATTTTATAGATATTTTCATAGACGATGCTTTTCTGAAATATCAACAATTGTTCCTCCTTTGGCAGTCCCCACGAGATTAACTCGTCGAGTTGAGGCTTCGCACCCCTTTGTGGTCACTTTGGAGACCTGCAGAACATCTCTTTCCAAAGACTCGTTCATCCAACGAACAGCGAGGCTCTGGAACACATTGGCAAGGGAGGCGTTCCCCGAGGCATATAACCTCCAGAAATTCAAGAAGAACACAAATTCCTACTGTAGAAGAGATTCACAATGTGTTTACCAGTGCGTCTCATATTGTTGTAATCGCTTAGATACGAGGTGTTTGATAGTAATTGTTTTTTATGCTGAAATTGTTAATTGTGAATAAATAAATTTGTCACGAGCTTGTCATAATTTCAAATTACAAAAAACCTATAAAAACTACTTTCTGCAACGAACAAGCTTTGCTTTAAATTATATTTAACATTGGTCCTTCGAGATTCCCAAAGAACACGCTATGGAGCATAACCAGCCATATGAAAGTGACCGTCAAAATAGTCTACGTAGAAGTACCAGATGTAATTTAGGAGTTCCTCCAAGAAGATTCACAGAAACCTTTGGTCCAGAACTCAGGTTGAATGTTCCTTCCTCGAGTACATGTGCAAGTACTATGATGCAGCAAGGTAACAGAGTTCTGGCAGAAAAATCTGCTTCTGTGATTGATTACATGAGGAAATCTGACTCTACTGAAACTACAGAGGAAGACAAGAGGAAAACTAGATCTGAGTTGATATTAGTTGACTCCAATGTAGAAAGAGCAACTGAAAAGAAGTCAGTCAGGTCACACAAGTCTTCAAAATCAAAGCGGTCCGATATTTCGCAATTGAATTTGGAACTTATGGTGCTCAAACAGAAGCAAAAGCTTGATGATGAAGAAGCGGCAGAGAAACTAAAAGCAATTGAAATTAAACGAGCTAATCTTATGAAGGAAATGGAGATTCAAAAGAAGATGATGGAATCTGCAGAGAACGGAAGTGATAGTGAATCCAGTAGGTCTATTCACTCTAAAATCTCCTATTCCAATTCGAAAATGGTAAATAAATGGATTAAAGATTCTGAGAAATGTTTTCGCCCATCAGAATGTGATTACAATTTGGAATCCTACCGTGCAAATGATGAAGATGAATTTGATGATCGTCTACATTCCTTCGCCAGTGCAGCATGTGCTGATTCTTCAAGTTTCGTGGAAGGTGGAGGAAAGGATAAGGCAATCATCGATATAGCCAGACAATGTATTGACAATTCAATTCAGACAAGAAATTTGTTGACACGTCAAAAACTGAAAGATTTGACACATTTCAGTGGAGAACTTACTGAGTGGCCGATTTTTATAAGTGAGTTCAACAGAACAACTCAGATGCATGGATTAACCGATGATGAAAATCTAATTCGCCTTGACAGATCATTGCGGGGAAAAGCGAGAGACACTGTTCGAGCTCTATTAACTTCTCCTTCAAATGTCTCCAAAATCATCAAGATGTTAGAGATGAATTTTGGTAGAAGCGAATGGATTGTTCTGTCTTTGATAGAAAAGGTTAAAAAACTTGCATACATCAGAGAAGATAAAGTTGAATCGTTTATAACTTTCTCAAATGCCATTAGTAACATGGTAACAACAATGAAGAATGTAAATTCACATCTCTATCTGTATAATCCAGAGCTGCTGTCTATTCTTGTTGAGAAGCTGACCTCAATCCAAAAGTACAGCTGGGGAAAACTGAAACAGCAACTAGAAGTACAAGGACAGTATGTTTCCTTAGAACACTTTGCTGATTGGTTCGAGGAAGAAACAAATTTGATGACAGGCATAGCTAACCCGTTCCAGAGATCCACCCTCAGACATTTCCCGAAGAAAGAAAATGTGCTGATTTCAAGAGGAAAAACACAAGCAAAGTCATCAGAATCTACAGGGTGTGCTTTCTGCCAGAATTCCGACCATGTCATCAAAGAATGTGGAGAATTTTCTGAGAAACCTGTTGAAGAGAGAAGAGAATCTGCTGCAAACCTCAAACTCTGTTTTCTTTGTCTAAGAAAAGGACATATAGCAGGTAGATGTTTCGTAAAGAACAGATGTGGTGAAAATGATTGCAGAGGAAGACACCATAAATTACTCCATAAAGACCAACCCCAGCAAGAAGAGAAGAAAGAGTTCTGTGCTAACTTGACTTCTATTGTTGAAAATAAGGTGCTGTTGAGAATTGCTCCAGTCATAGTACGTGGACCTACAGGAGACATGAAGACTTTTGCGATGTTTGATGAGGGTTCCACCTGTTCCATGATTGATGAAGTTTTTGCCAAACAACTTGAATTATCTGGCCTCGTGGTTCCATTGTGTTTTCAATGGACGAACGGAATCACCCATTATGAAGACAATTCCGAATTAGTTTCTTTCGATATATCTTCCGCAAAGTCTTCTAGATTCTATAAAATCAACCAAGTAAGAACCGTAAGGAACTTGAGTCTACCATGTCAAAAACTCGATGTTGATGAACTAAGCAGCCGGTACCCTTACTTGGATAGAGATATTTTGGAATCTATCAAATCTGCTGTCCCTCAAATATTGATAGGTCAAGATAACGCTGGACTCATCATTCCCAGGCAGGTAATACAACCAAAACTAAATCAACCGATCATGGCCAATTCAAGATTGGGTTGGACAATCAATGGACCCATCAATAATGCTGATAGCGAGCACTCATTGCACGTTAGTCTTTGTTGTCGTCAGATCGGTGATGAAGAACTTCACAAGCTTGTGAAAGATAGTTTCCGACTGGATTCGTCTGGAATGAAGAATAGTGATAATGTTGTCAAGTCAACAGAGGACAAGAAGGCAGTAGAAATAATGGAGAATACAATAAAAAGAATTGGTAAACGTTTTGAGATTGGACATCTATGGAAGAACGAGAATGCCACCTTGCCTGATAGCCTACCCAATGCTATGAAACGTTTATTCTGTATGGAGCGTAGAATGGATAGAGATGAACATTTTGCTGACCAGTACTGTGCAAAAATCGAAGAATATCTTTCAAAGAACTATGCAAGTAAATTAGATACATCGGAAGCGATCGAGTCCACGAAAACCTGGTACCTACCGCATTTTGCGGTATGGAATATCAACAAACCAGGAAAGTTACGTTTCGTCTTTGATGCAGCTGCGAAATCACATGGTTCAAGTTTGAATGATTTTCTGCTACAAGGTCCAGATTATGTTCCTCCACTGGTATCAGTTCTATGGCGCTTCAGGCAAGGCAGTATTGCTTTCAATGGCGACATCAAAGAAATGTTCCACCAGGTTACCATCAGAGAACAAGACAGAAGTGCTCAGAGATTCTTATGGCGTGGGAAGGATAGGCAGCGAAAACCTGATGTCTACCAGATGAACGTAATGATCTTCGGAGCAGTATCTTCACCTGCAGTGGCCCAATTCGTTAAGAATAAGAATGCTGCCGAGTTCGAGTCGAAATTCCCAGGTATCACCAGGTCTATACAGAAACAGCATTATGTGGATGACTACCTCGATTCGTGTTATACTGAAGAAGAAGCAATAAAGAAAGTAGCTGATGTGATCTACGTTCATGCACAGGCAGGGTTTGAAATGGTCAAGTGGATCACCAATTCTCCCAGAGTTCTTCAGTCCATTCCTGAAAATTATCGTTCCGAGTCGCAAAATCAAGTGAAGATTGGTTCAGATGGAATTGAAAGAGTCTTGGGCTTATTCTGGAACCCTAATTCCGATGAATTCATCTTTACTTTGAGTTTCAAGAAGATTCCTCCTGAAATTAGCGATGGAGTGAAGAAGCCAACGAAAAGGGAAGTTCTGCGTTTAGTCATGTCCATTTTCGATCCTCTTGGGTTTCTTGCTCCGATGGTAGTAATTGGAAGATTATTGATGCAAGATATTTGGAAAACCAACATTGACTGGGATGCAGAGATACCAGATGATATTTTCCTCGGATGGGTAAAGTGGCTGATGGACCTCAAAACTCTAACTCCAATTTCAATACCAAGATGCTACTTTCCGAATGTGAAACTCGTACAGAGTGTCCAATTGCATATGTTTTGTGATGCCAGTGACAAAGCCTATGCCACTGTGGCATATATCAGATGCCAAGTTGACGAGGATATATACACAGCGTTTGTATCTTCAAAATATAAAGTTGCGCCGCTAAAGCAACAGACGATTCCCAAGCTTGAGTTACAGGGTGCTCTGTTAGCTTGTAGGTTAGCTAAGTCAATCTTCAGTGAGCTAGAACAGAAGATTGAAGATATTTACTACTGGACAGATTCAATGGTGGTTCTCAAGCAGATAAGATCACAGTCGAGAAGATTTCCTATGTTCGTTTCTTGTCGTGTTGGAGAAATTCAAGAAGATTCGGATATTTCGAAATGGCGCTGGATTCCATCAGAGCTAAATGTCGCCGACCAAGCCACAAAGGAAACAAGATGTAAAAATTTCGGGGCTGATAGTCTATGGTTAAATGGTCCAGATTTCTTGAAACTACCTGAGAGTTCCTGGCCAGCAGAATCAATATTCAATGAGCAAGTGGAAAACATACTTGTCGTCGCAGACAATCTGAACAAGAAAATGCTATTGCCTGATGCAACAAGATTTTCTAGTTGGAAGCGACTCATTCGATCCACTGCTTGGATTGTGTATTTCAAGAAAGTCTGTCGTCTTCCCAAGAATGATAGACCACCGAGCCCAGTTTTGAATGTAGAGTACTTAGAAGAAGCTTCGAGGTGGTGGATAAAGAAGAGTCAAGGTGAATCATTTGATGAAGTCAGTCTTCTTCAAAACGGCGATGCTCTTCCTAGATCCAGTCGCCTTCATAAGTTATCTGCATTTCTAGATGACGAAGGCATAGTGCGATTGAGAGGAAGATTCCCAGATTCTGATAGACTTCAAATGAATTATGATACTCGATTTCCGATAGTGCTTGATCCCAAACAGAGGTATACAATTTTACTAATTGACCATTACCATCAGGAAGCAGGCCATATTGGAGTTGAAACAGTAATCAGTCAATTGAGGAATAAATTTTGGATTTTACATATCCGTGCTGCTGTCAAGAAATGTTTCAACTCATGCCTCAAATGTAAAATCCGCAAATGTACACCAACAGTACCTGAAATGGGATTATTACCTCCCTCGAGATTAGAATCTCATGTATTCCCGTTTAGCTACGTCGGCATCGATTTTTTTGGACCCATGACTGTATCCATTGGCCGCAGAATAGAAAAGAGATACGGAGTTCTTTTTACGTGTCTCTCCATCAGGGCTGTGCATATAGAGTTAGCTGCCTCTTTGGATACTAGCTCTACGATCATGGCAATAAGGCGTTTCATCTGCAGAAGAGGACAGCCAAGAGAAATATGGACAGACAACGGAACAAACTTCGTTGGAGCGGAGCGAGAGTTGAGAGAATGTTTCCAGTCTTTGGACCACAATAAGATTGCCGATGACCTATGTTTGGGTGGCTGCAAATGGAAATTCAACTGTCCTGGTGCTCCGAATATGGCTGGAGTCTGGGAGAGAATGGTAAAATCCATTAAAACTGCCCTCAAAATCTCTCTGAAGAACATGAATCCACGAGAAGAGGTTCTTCTCACCCTCCTGTATGAAGCAGAATACATGGTGAATTCGAGGCCCCTGACTCATATTTCTGTAGATCCAGGAGACATGCAAGCAATCACACCAAATCATTTTTTGCTTCTACGTCCAGGTGGTGTTCCTTCCTGTGGGGAAAATTCGATCTGTAGCAAGAAACAATGGAGAATCGCTCAAGCCCTGGCAGATCATTTTTGGCGACGATGGGTACAAGATTACAGACCAACCTTGATACACCGACAAAAATCGTATGACCAAACGAAGCCCATACAGATAGGTGATGTTGTCATCATAGTTGATGAGAAGGCGCCTAGAAATGAATGGCTGAGAGGCAGAATAGAAGAAACTTTTCCTGGGAAAGATGGAATTATTAGAGTCGCCAAAGTCAAGACAATCAAAGGAAGTTACACCAGGCCAGTTTCAAAATTATGTACCTTGCTTACTTCTACCAGTACGTGAAGACTTGAGCTGTTCACGGGGTGGAGAATGTAGAAGAGATTCACAATGTGTTTACCAGTGCGTCTCATATTGTTGTAATCGCTTAGATACGAGGTGTTTGATAGTAATTGTTTTTTATGCTGAAATTGTTAATTGTGAATAAATAAATTTGTCACGAGCTTGTCATAATTTCAAATTACAAAAAACCTATAAAAACTACTTTCTGCAACGAACAAGCTTTGCTTTAAATTATATTTAACACCTACCTTATATCCCTTGGTTCTCATGATGTTCTCTGAACATTACAGGATATCCCTTTTCGTGGGAACCAGAACATGAAAAAAATCCATTTTCCCCTCGGTGCTTTGTATCTCTCGGGCTTCGCCCTCGAGCTACAAACCGCACCTTGGAAATAATCTTGCATTTCTGCTCGATGTATATTGTACTAATTCCTATATAGGGGACAAACTTTTCTTTGATAAAAGAGACAACACCGAATTCGACCTCTTGACGGTAAACGAAACAGCAATGGAACCACCCCAGGATGATGGCAACTCTTTGAACTCCCCGAGAAATCTAGCTCTAGAGGCCACATTCATCAATCACAACTTCAGTCAGCAGGTAATTCAGATGTTGTTACACTCTTTTGAATGGGAAAGGTTATGGAGGAATTATATTTCAGGTGCTGAGAACTGGTCCAAATGAACCTCGTTATAAGTTTGATGACGTAAATCCGTTCATTTCTGAAGAAGAAGAAGGCGAGGTAGCTAGTGTTGCTTACAGATACAGAAAATGGGACCTCGGTGGTGGAATTGTAAGTGCCATAGTTCAATAATTATTAGTACATACAATATTATATTTTTGTTGTCTAGATGTATAACTTCCTTCATTTGTTTTCAAAGTTTTCTTACTTGTAGCAACGTGAGATTTTTCGTTTTGTTTTTAAATTAAATGGCATACTTGTTTTCTGACGACCATCACTGAAAATCTATGTATGAAAAATGCATAATGACAGTGATTTGATGTTGAGGCCCAGATCACAATAATTGTTCAAAGACTTATGTGATCTTTTTTCTCTTTATTTAACATAATTATCTATGACATAATTAATTTATTGATTCAATGAAACAAAATTACTGAAAACTGTGGCTTGTGTGAGAGACAGAGTAATCTAATCTAGATCACTGTTGACACTGATGCCAAATTATCTGAAAAGTACGCTGGCCAAGATCTAGACACCTCATTCAACATTTTCCTTTCATCATATTATATTTTTGCACTTTGTTTATTATTCAACATTTTCCTTTCATCATATTATATTTTTGCACTTTGTTTATTCATTAGTGCATCTGTCTGGTATATTATGTTGACTATTTTTGAACTATTACTCTGTATTTGACACTTATCTCCGTATATCTTGACCCTTACCTACAGCTTTAACCGGCTTTAACTATACGAGGTGGAAAAAAATTTAAATATGAAAGTTGTGGGATTTCGCGGCGCCGTTTTGGCCAACGAGCAGTGCAACAACACGTTCAAGCTAGCCAGGATTAAACACTATACAGGGGGTGTTCATAATACATGCACAGGACTTCAGTATGTGATAGCTTGCCCAAAAATATGAATAAAAGTTTCAATTAGCTTGCCCTCTGAAATGCATCATTTTCGAGATCTAGGGAGTTGAAATTGAAAAAAAAAAACGATTTTTGAAAATATCTCTGGGACCGTTTATTGCACAGAGAAGCTTTTGTAAGCTATATAATTGGTGAAGATTTTGAAGGGGTAGTGAGTGTTTTTCTCTCCAACTTCTACGCCACTGGAAAAAGTACAGTTTTGAGCCGCCCATTTGAATCGCTAATGTTTTCTACACAAAAAAGTACTCCTGGTCATAAGCTCGAAAGTTAACCATTTTCGAGACAAATCAACTTTTATGTTGAAAAACTTGGTCAATTTCTTGAAATAAATTTTTTGTTGCGTGCATAGAAGCTAGCGGCGGACATTTCCAATAATTATATTATAAGATTCTACTCAAACAAATTTTTATTCAGTCAGGACGGCTTGTACAAAGATGACCGTTCATAAAAATACAACATCGACAAGTGATTCATGCTGATGCTACGATGCTAATGTAGAAATGAGTGAATCCCACTTCTGATATAAGATTCTGAATGGAGGCATCGTAGATAGACATAAATTCAACACTCAAACACATTTTTATTCACTCAGGACGGCTTGTACAAAGATAACCGATTATAAAAATACAACATCGACAAGTGATTCGTTCTGATGCTACGATGCTTATGCCTAAACCTGCTTCAATCTTCGATCACACGATGATTACGAATACCGATAAGCTCGAAAGTTAACCATTTCCAATAATTATATTATAAGATTTAGGGGCGTCCGGAGAGGGAGGCAAGGGGGGGGGGGGGCGCTCGCCCCCCCCCCTAGCGCCTGGTCTTCACTCAGATACTTTCTAAACAAGATACATTTGCATTATTCAATTCCCATTCTGATAACGCTTATTACAGTGACTTTCTCAGACTTTGTTCAATTAGTATTCATCGACATCTTATAGATAGATATAGTAATTTTATCGACGAAGTTATTGATAAATTTGCTCAAGAATCTATAAAAATGTCATTATTGTTCGAACAAGATCATGATTATCATCACGTGCAATTTTTTATTGTAATTTTGGCTGTAAACAGAATACCTATGTGATGTCAATTCAATTAATTTTCTTTTTTTTTATTCCATGTTTTATGTAGAGTAATAGTAGATTATATATAGAGAGAGTAAAGTGCATGATTTTTCCAGAGGTGGTTTTGTAGCCAGAGGGTGCTACAATGCACTGAGGGAAGAAAGAACTCACTTCCGAGGTTTATATACCATTTTTGCACGACTCGACGATTTTAATTGAAAGAATCTTATGATGAAATCAATTATTGTCAATATGAAAATGAAAATCCGAACACAATAATCACAAAATCAAATTTGATTACCATGACTACCGATAAAGAAGAGTAGCCATATTGCTTTTAGTGAACATCGAAAAAGTGTGGTAGCATATTATCTTAATTGCTTTCCAAAGTTTTTTCAATAAATATTGCAGGAATGTGTGGAAAAACTATTGAAGAAGCTGAAGAAGTAGATTCATTGCTAGAGAAATCCCGGAAAATGTTTAGCCTAGAGAGTGCTTACTCTGTATACTCTGTATTCCCGCTTTTGTCGGTGTAAAATCGCTTATAGGTCGTGCAAAAACTGTTTTTTTGATATGTACTGAATATTGTACATTATTTATTGTGACTTGCCCCTCCCTGAGATTATTTCTGCGGACGCCCCTGAAGATTCTTAATGGAGGCATCGTAGATTGACACAATTTCAACACTCAAACACATTTTCATTCACTCAGGACGGCTTGAACAAAGATGACCGTTTATAAACATACAACATCGACAAGTGATAAATCCGAACACAATAATCACAAAATCAAGTTTGATTACCATGACTACCGATAAAGAAGAGTAGCCATATTGCTTTTAGTGAACATCGAAAAAGTGTGGTAGCATATTATCTTAATTGCTTTCCAAAGTTTTTTCAATAAATATTGCAGGAATGAGTGGAAAAACTATTGAAGAAGCTGAAGAAGTAGATTTATTGCTAGAGAAATCCCGGAAAATGTTTAGCCTAGAGAGTGCTTACTCTGTATACTCTGTATTCCCACTTTTGTCGGTGTAAAATCGCTTATAGGTCGTGCAAAAACTGTACTGAATATTGTACATTATTTATTGTGACTTGCCCCTCCCTGAGCTTATTTCTGCGGACGCCCCTGAAGATTCTTAATGGAGGCATCGTAGATTGACACAATTTCAACACTCAAACACATTTTCATTCACTCAGGACGGCTTGAACAAAGATGACCGTTTATAAACATACAACATCGACAAGTGATTCATTCTGATGCTACGATGCTAATGACTAAACCTGCTTCAATCTTCGATCACACGATGATTACGAATACCGATTATTTGAACATCGTCGCCAACAATATTATTCATATTTTGAGGTCCTTGTGGCGCGATGCGAGCACGACGCCGTGGTCCAATCGCCCAACAATGGCGAGCTGCAATTCTTGACCGTCAAAGCGCTGAACGAGTGGGACTCGAAGGTGGCCAGCGGCGTCGAGTGGCGCCAGAAGTTGGACTCGCAACGGGGCGCCGTTTTGGCCAACGAGCTGCGCAACAATGCGTGCAAGCTTGCCAAGTGGACGGTGCAGGCGGTGTTGGCTGGCAGCGACCAGATCAAGTTCGGGTGAGTGATCGGCATTTATACAGCGTGTCTCACTTTGAACGGCCCCCTTCTATACAGGGTGTAACTAAATAAAGATAGATCTTTCATACAAAGAAACTTCATTGGAGCATCCCATGTTAAGATACAGCTCCTTGAAGGGGGTACATAAAATTTGTTCATCAATTTTTTATGGGAAAAATATTAGGGAGGGAGGGAGAGGGAGACACAACCTGGAGCTAAAATCTACTACTTTTTTCCCTTGTATAATAAATAACTAATTTTTGGGACCTTAGGTATGTGTCTCGAGCCCACGTCAAGGACAACAGCAAGCATGTGATATTGGGTACGCAGCAGTACAAGCCTCACGAGTTTGCCACCCAAATCAATTTGAATATGGATAATGCCTGGGGGATTTTGAGGTGAGTGGTTTTCTTATAAATTGCATATCATTTAACAAATAACTTTTATGAATTAATAGATGAAAACCTGCCAACTCTATGTATATTTCTTGATTTAGCCAAAGCGTTTGATACAGTTAGTCATGAACTGCTTAAAAAAAGGAGGATATTGAATTTCGTGGAGTTAGTTGAAAAAAAATTCAAAATATCTTTAATTCCTTACAGATCAAGACATATCCATTATCCATATAAGAATACAGCATGTAGAAATTAACAATATTTATAGTAATCCAGAATATTTCGAGTATGGCGTTCCTCAAGGAAGTGTTTTAGGACCACTTTTTTTAAATATTTATATAAATGATTTATTTCAAGCAATGAACTAAATATAAACACCTGGAAGGGTCCCTCTGTGAACGACAAGTGAGGCAAAAATATTGTTCAGGCAATCCGCAGTGGTTACGGATACCTATCTCTTTCTATTTTATGTTGGCTAATGGGAAGCGCTCGCATTATTTGAAATATTTTCTCGTTTTTTGCTTTCATTTAAGAGTAAACGTGATTAAATATAAATATTCATTTAGGAAAAAGGATAATGTGGCAATCAAGTATCATTGAAAAATTATGAACTTAGGACCCAAGTTATGAACGTCCACAGATGCATCCTGAGAATAAATTGCTAGCTAGTTTTTTATTTCAAAGAGTTGCAAACATACTTTTTTTCATTATCAATCAACTAGGTACCTACGATTTTTTTTTATTTTCCTACGAGGATCAGCATTTTTTGGTAATAGGAAATGAAAATATACTGGGTACAGTATCTGGTATCGATAACCTAGCAGTACCTGGCAGAAAATGCTCTCCACAAAGCTTGCTCTCTCTACGAACTGCCTCAATCCATAATTCAAGAATGTCTGGTCTTTTGAATGGAAAACTGCAACAGGTGATATTACTTAATATGTTGATGGAAAAGTCATGGAAGTATTTTACTCTGACAAATAATATAGGTATAGTTTTTGAACATATTTTGAGACTGGGGACATTGTACCTACCTCACAAACCTTCTCAACAATCAGTTCAAACCAACAAATTCAGTCCTTTTGTTGAAACAAAACACGCCAAATGAATAGATATTTCACATAACCAAAGACCATGAACTTATGTCTTCACAAAATCGAAAATACTTTAATTATTAGATAAAAGCAAACGTGAACACCAATCCACCATTAAACAACACGAGTAGGAAAGAGACAGGTTACCGTAAAACTAGCTATCTTTGTTGCAGCTGCCCCTGACACACTGTGCTATTCCAGAGAACGGTCGTTTCCCTTCCAGGTGTTTATATTGACTTCATTGATTTCAAGTCAATTTGATTGGTAATATGCATTCTCTTGCAGATGATACTGTTGATAATAATGATTATTGATAATAATCTGAAGTTGGATAATCATTTAGAATATGTTTTGAAAAAAATTAAATGTCTCATTCCTAAATTCAAACGTTTAAATCATGTATTAGGCATTCATAGTTTGAAAATGATATACACTCAGTTCCAAAAAAAGTGACGCACTTGATATTTGACCTATCTTCTTGAAAAAAAAAAAAAATAGTAGGCCGATTTTTGTTTATTTTTTATTTGCTGGTAGGTAATGCATTTGTCTTTGAAAAAAAAAGAGCTGAAATTTTTTTCAAAGCCTCCTTGATGGTGGTGGATTAACTCAAACCATGATTTATTCTTGATTTTTGACTCACCCTGTGTGTTGATTGAGTAATGGCATAGAAAGTGCATGCACCCTATACGAAAGAGGCTTCTTTTGCGAGCATTTTGTTTTTTTATTCATTGATTTATCTCTAAAATTTTCCGAATAACAGCTTTTTTTGCTGAATCCTTGCAGATTACCAACTTTCTGAATTTATCGAGAAACAATTTTCAAATGAAATAAACTGATACCAATAATTTTTATCAAACACAAAATTATAAATTGGGATGACTGCTTAATACCGTGTATTGCCTCCTCTAGCAACTCTAAGAACTAATCTACGAGGCATACTGGAAATTAAGTTGCTTATCGTTTCCATTGGTATACAATCCCATTCTTCCGCTAATGCATCTGCCATTTCTGCGAGACTTCCGGAGACCTCTCGCGAGAACGTATCCTTCTCCCTAATTCATCCCACAAATGTTCTATAGGATTCATATAAGGGCTTCTCGCAGGCCATTGTAATGTGGCAATACCAGTAGCTTCTAAGAAGTTTCGCACTATTGCTGCGGTGTGTGGTCGGGCATTATCCTGCATCAATATAAAATTATTGCCCACTAACTCTGCATAAGGTAAGACATACTGCTCTAAAATTTCAATGTAAATTTGGGCATTCATCGACTGCCTCACCGAAAAAACATGAAGGGGTGTCTTTCCATTCATTGAAATCCCTCCCCACACCATAACGGACCCACCATTAAAACTTTCGCATTCTGTTATTAAATTTTGATTAAACCGTTCACCAGTTCTTCTCCACACTCTTTTTCTTCCATCCACCATTTTAAGGCAACACCTTGACTCATCCGTGAACAAGGCATTCAACCATTCAGGAATATTCCACTGTCCATAATTTTCAACAAAATTTCTTCTTGCAGCACGATGTTCGGGCAATAATTTGGGACCTTCTGCAGGTCTCCTAGCTTTTAAATTAACTTCTTTTAGACGTCTACATACCGTCTGCTTACTTACTGCAACATCATGAATTTGGCGAAGATCTTGCTGAACATTTACCGCAGTATTTGATCGATTCCGTAAAATCCGCAATCTCAAGAGAAGATCGCTTCTTCTCTTGGAGAAGTTTTTCGGGGGCGACCAGAACCGACCCTCCGAGTGGTGCTTCCTGTTTGTTCGTACTTGCGGATTGCTCTACGAGCAGTTGCTTCATGAACTCCTACTGCACGAGCGGCGTAACGTTTACTACGCCCATCGTTTACTAACGCAACTAATCTTGCTACGTGTTCAGGATTTATTCGAGGCATTTTATGAAATTTTAGTCAATAAAACAAGACTCATAATTAATAACACAACGACAAATGGTCAAATATGGAGGCATACAACAAATTAGTTGCTATGGCAACGGCATTAGTTTTTTTAAAGACAATGTGATCCTACCAAAGTACAACCCAATCAATTTTGAGTACTCTGATCCTTCAATTAATTTAATTTGTGGGATAAGCGTAAGGTATCAGCAAAAAAGCTGTAATTCGGAAAATTTCAGAGATAAATCAATGAATAAAAAAACAAAATGCTCGCAAAAGAAGCCTCTTTCGTATAGGGTGCAAGCACTTTCTATGCCATTACTCAATTAACACACAGGGTGAGTAAAAAATTAAGAATAAATCATGGTTCGAGTTATTCCGCCACCATCAAGGAGGCTTTGAAAAAATGTTCACCTCTTTATTTTTTTCAAAAGACAAATGCATCACCTACCAACAAATAAAAATAAATAAAAATCGGCCTACTATTTTTTGTTCTCTTTTTTAAGAAGATAGGTAAAATATCAAGTGCGTCACTTTTTTTGGAACTGAGTGTATAATGTTATGTGTTGTGTTGATTGTGCTTCATCCCGTTGAAAATTCAAACTTTTTTCTAGGTGCATCGTGGATATAATCATGAAGCAAAAGGACGGAAAGTATTTGATAATGAAGGACCCGAACAAGTGCATGATTCGTCTGTACGACATTCCCGACAACACTTTCGAGTCTGACGGTGAAACGGAGTCTGACGACGAGGTGCCGGAAAATTCCGGGGCTTTCCCCTTGTACTCGTACAATACCAGTGCCAAACGCATATGATAGAGCTATTCTAGGTCGATAAATTTAATTCAAATGGAATACGTCCTGTTTTAGCACTAAACTGTTTGTAACTGAATAATACATGATACACGGTTTTGGAGGAAGTCTGAATATTTTATTTTCTGAGTTTACTCAGAAACTGTCTTACCTTAGCTCTTATAAGAGAGGGGAATATAGAGGAAGAAAGATAGAGAGAGAGGGGGCGGGGCAGAGAGAGACAGAGAGAGAAAGAAGATACCATCGTTGATTGAGGCTTTATCGATCTAAATGGAAAACCAATAGATTGAGAGGTGAGTGCCAAAAAAATGCAACAGTTATCTAAAGACAAAAGAAAAACGACGAAAAACTCTAAGGCGGTCGGTTTTTCGTTGTTTTTCTTTTGAAATTACTTTGGACCACTTTGAGATATGGATGATTTTCAGAATTTAGTTATCGTAAGGCTGAAATAGGTGATTGGACTAATTTATTTTCATTTCTAAATAGAATCATATCTCAAATACTTTTCAATTTCATACTTGTTTAGAATTTTTCGGTCGATTTTTAGGTGCTAAAATCATCAACAATGTCATGGTAATTTTCAAACGGCTAGAAATTTACTGCCAGTAAAAACTGACGTCACGATTTCGTAAGTTGGGGCACACCATAGCACAGTTGCCATGTGTTGAAATACAATCGGGAACTTCAGAAATATTAGTTATTCAATGATTCATAAACTTTCAATGTTGGTAATATTTCTAATTCGCAATTTTATTAAAAATCAATTGTCTCAAAATGTTCCCTCATGTTTTGTGGCTTATTGCTTATAATAAAGTTGTGTAAATAATAATTATATTAATTCACACTAGACGACATTCGAAGCGGTAAATGTGGCAACACGGTGCACGAATTGTGGGCGTGGTCTTGTTAGTTCTCAGCATTCAGCATGTTGACAAGTCTCCAACATTTCCATGATATTTTATTATGGAGTATAAGGAATATTTGGACATGCTGGTTGCTACTGCAAAAAATGATTCCCAACATGAATATATACATAAAATTTCCAATATTTCTCAACCAAAGATCGATGAAGTGGAAGTATTCATGTCGCAAGAAAACATTGATGTTCTTTGTATTTCCGAAACGTCGGTTCAACCACAGGAAATTATTTACGTAAGTTTTTCAAACTATTCAATTCGTAGTTTCTACTGTAGGAAAAACACACTACATGGTGGTACAATGATACTAACAAAGAAAACTCTTAGAGGTAGTGAAAACACGGAAATTGTAAATTTGAGTGTTGATAAAATTTTTGAATGTTCAGCTGTGAAATTATCGATTGGAACAGACAACTATTGCATATTATGTTTGTATAGAACGCCCGATTCAGATGTTAGACTGTTTTTTTGTAAGCTTGAGGAATGTCTAGACCTATTAACTGGCAAATGTCATTTATCACGTATCATCATCTGTGGAGATCTCAATATCAACCTCTTGTGTAAATATACATATTGTTGAGTACCATCAGAGGAATACATTCATAGAAAAAAACTCCCATCCACGTGTATTTTGAAAAAGTTATGATTTTTTTTCGAAATTCCGAAAAAGGGGGCCTGTGGGGTAAATTCTTGCCCGACAAAATATTGTGGGATATACATATTATTGAGTACCATCAGAGGAATACATTCATAGAAAAAAACTCCCATCCACGTGTATTTTGAAAAAGTTATGAATTTTTTTCGAAATTCCGAAGAAGGGGGCCTGTGGGGTAAATTCTTGCCCGACAAAATATTGTGAGATATACATATTATTGAGTACCATCAGAGGAATACATTCATAGAAAAAAACTCCCATCCACGTGTATTTTGAAAAAGTTATGAATTTTTTTCGAAATTCCGAAGAAGGGGGCCTGTGGGGTAAATTCTTGCCCGACAAAATATTGTGAGTGTGAGATATACATATTATTGAGTACCATCAGAGGAATACATTCATAGAAAAAAACTCCCATCCACGTGTATTTTGAAAAAGTTATGAATTTGTTTCGAAATTCCGAAGAAGGGGGCCTGTGGGGTAAATTCTTGCCCGACAAAATATTGTGAGATATACATATTATTGAGTACCATCAGAGGAATACATTCATAGAAAAAAACTCCCATCCACGTGTATTTTGAAAAAGTTATGATTTTTTTTAGAAATCCCGAAAAGGGGGCCTGTGGGGTTAATTCTTGCCCGACAAAATATTGGGAGATATACAGATTATCATTGACCCTCAGAGAAATTCATTGATGTAAAATAGTTTCATCCATGGACATATTTTGGAGGTTGAAGTAATTTCATGGCCAGCCATGAATATAAATTGATAATGAACGACCATTGGTGGTATGGCGCGCGCCTTGAATATTAGGCGAAGTCGTGGCTGGTTTCACACTGATTATTGAGGACGAGTTTTGTAATTATGTTCCGATTCTATTCAAAAGTTTCATCTGGGGTTTCAGAAGTTGGATATATTATGATTCTTTCGTCATAATTGGGAAATTCAAGTGAACTGAAAAGAAGTTGAAATAAATGGTAGTTTGAAAAACTGAAGGAACACGCTTTTATAGATAGCGAAACTAAAAAGAAGTAGAAAATGAAATTATAATAGTGTCTTGATGAATATTGAACTGAAAAATCATATCATAGAAATAATATACAGGGTGTTCATTTGAAAACTTCCCACCTCGAATTTCTCAAAACATGAAGGTTTTTAAAAAAATCGCCGAAACACGTAAAAAAATTTATCGAGGGGGACAACTTTTTAAGCAAAATTTGCTTCGCCTTCTTTTACCCCCTGCCCTCAGGAGCTACCCCCCTAAAAATCTTAAATGGCAAGGGGTATCGAGTGATAGCTCATTTGAAAGGTCTTTTTAATTCCTTTATTGTGGCGTTTGATTTTTTTAAAATCGGTCGATTCGTTTTCGAGATTTTGTGCACCATAAATTAGAATCAATATCCACTCTTTCGGCTAGTGTGTAAATCATTTTGAAAGTAAAATCTGAATCAATAAATTAATTTTCACTATGTCAAGATTGTCACAAAGGTAACTGACAGCAAATTGAATTCTCTCTTTTCCTTAGCAACTTTAAAAAACTAAACAGGTATAACAATAAAGACAGTTCGCCCATGTTATCTGTGTTGATAAAAAGAAGACGGACAAAAATTCGGGTTGTTATTCGGTTGTTGCCACGTCTAATCTTCCGAATTCCTGTTTATGTTGTTTTTTGAACACTTATTGAAATAGAAAGTTTTATTTTCGTGTGTTTTTGTTTCTATCTGAACAAAGTAAGATAAATAAAGATTTTTCTAATTATCTCGAAAACGAATCGACCGATTTTAAAAAATCAAACGCCACAATAAAGGAATTAAAAAGACCTTTCAAATGAGCTATCACTCGATACCCCTTACCATTTAAGATTTTTAGGGGGGTAGCTCCTGAGGGCAGGGGGTAAAAGGAGGCGAAGCACTTCTTGCTTAAAAAGTTGTCCCCCTCGATAAATTTTGTTACGTGTTTCGGCGATTTTTTTAAAAACCTTCATGTTTCGAGGAATTCGAGGTGGGAAGTTTTCAAATGAACACCCTGTATATAGCAAAACAACGTTTGTGAGGTCTGCTAGTCTATAATATATAAATTATTCTCTCATTCAAGGTCATAAAGTTTGTCGTTTGATTTGTAAACTTCATTTTGGTCGCACTCCTTACCATCAGAATGGAACAAATAAAACGCTACTAACTCTACTTTTTAAACTATGCAAAAAAACTAATATATGCGATAACCTATTTTATAATATAAATATTTCATATAAACTTTCACAACATAAACTATGAATAAAAATAGTAATAATATACACTCTGAAGCCTAAAGCATACTGTCCTTCACCTCTCCTGGATTGTCGAGAGCCGCTTTTCTCTCATTGATAGCTATCACCAACAATCTGTGGGGTCCAACGGGCAAGTTTAAACGCCTCAAATCGCCTTCTTCTAGTACCATCAGGGTTTCTAGGTCGATTTTCTGATCTACGAATATGGAAGCATATTCGCTCAGCCCGAATGCAGTCAAAAATCTTTCTAGCGGTGCGTTGGGATCGTTTTCTTCGCTGGAGTCTGAATCTGAAACATAGTTTAAACCTAAATGAAGCCTGATGATGACCATTCATAAGGGAGGAACGCATCTACACCTTTTTCAATTGTAATTCAGAAAGTATAACTTGAAATTCAGATTAGTTAATTGTAATTCAGAAAGCGTAATATGTAATTCAGATTAGTGAAATGTTATTCAGAAAGTGTAACTTGTAATTCAGAATAGTGAAATGTAATGGGCTTATATCACAAATAGTAGATTGTTTTATTAGGATCAAAAGTGACACTTTGTTTGACAAGCGAATTTTGCATTTGCGAGGCGGAGCGTTTATAGCAAAGCCAAGCAAAAGCAAAATTTGCGAATCGAACAAAGTCACTTTTGATCCGAATGAAACATGCTATTTTTTCTGCAACGGAAACAATTGACTCAAAATAAACGTGTGAAGTAACCACCAATGCCGTGCCATATGTATGCAATGCAACAAATATTGACAAATAATCCGTGTGGTGAGAATATTCTACCTGCATTAACAGCAGGTTGGGTTTTCTAGGATGTTCGAATTGTAGTTTCAATATAAATACAATCACAGAGTGACATATTTGTGTATGGACCAGGTGCTCTAATGCCAAAAACCGCGCCAGTGCCAGCTAGAGGAACAATACGTGGAAAATGTTAGGTTAGTGAGCATATCAACAATGATAATAGTGATTACTTATTCCTCTCCATACTACACTGTGTTCGACTTGATAATCAAATGAAGCAAAGCAATATCGTTGTTTGAGACAAAAAAACTATTGCTTGCCGTGATTATACAAAAGAAGTTATCCATCCCGAGAATAACGAATAAAATACAGATCACGCAAGTATTTGAATCTTGAAGGCTTCCCTGATCAAAACAAAAATACTGAACTGAGATGTTTATAATTTCAATACGTATAGTATAATAGGGTGTATTTATATCTCGAGCATGGGTATGAAATGCCAAATCTGCTGAAATCGGAAACAAATCAGGTATGCATCTCAACCGAAATAACCAACCGTCACAATGTTGTTTATTCTTGATGACGTCCAGTAGATCATTTTTAGTTCCTAGGAGCTAAAGTTCAACTTTAGCTCCTAGGAACTAAAATTCAACTTTAGCTCCTAGGAACTAAATATGTTGCCTAGCAACATACCTATTTTTGTGACAGTAATAGAAACGTCAATTTAAGAGCTAATTTTGGTATCAAAATGGACGACTTTTGTGTCGGTTGCAGAAAAAAAAATTTATTTCATAATTCGATAGAACTCACCCAAACTAGCTCACCGCAAACCGTTTCTTGCTGTGAGCTCCCTACGTTTTATAAAAAATCATTGAAATCCCCGAATTTTCGGACCTCTGAAAACGAGGCGATGATGTGACGTCAAAACCCTAATACTGAAACAAGACTATTCCAGACAGAGATGAATAATAAATGATTTCTGACAGAGTGAATTAGCGCGAGATCACAGTTGAAATAATTAATATATCAGTTGCCTCAGTCTCCGTCGGGCGTTTGGTATTTTCTTTTAACTATGGCGAGATGAGGTTTCTACGTCATAAGAGGGTCCGTTTTCAGAAGGTACTACTATTTATGTCCAAAAATAAAACATTCCAGTTAATTTTTCGATGGAATTATGTCGTCAATCATAATTTATGTACAAAAGGATCATTATAAACATATTTAGTTTGAGTTAAAAGTTCTACTAAGGTGTACACGCCCATTCAGAAACCGTCAATTGTAATTCCGAAAGCATAACTTGTAATTCATAAAGTATCACTTATGATTCTGCATTACAATTGACTAATCTGAATTACAATATTGACGCTTTCTGAATTACAATTAACTATTCTGAATTACAAGTTACCATTTCTGAATTACAAGTTACCATTTCTGAATTACATTTTACTAATCTGAATTACAAGTCACACTTTCTGAATAACAATTGAAAAAGGTGTAGTAACAACATTTTTTTGTATCTCTTTGGAGCGCAAGAAAGGAAATTCCTATGATGATCGAAGAACGTCGTGTGTACCTAGGGGGGGGTAGGGAGAGGAGGTAGGTACTGGATTTTTCAACATTTTTGGAGTTTATGATTGCGTGCGCAAAGTAATACTTTTCCGCACTCAGTGCTTATATGGGGAGTAAAACTACCCAAAAATCTCACTGGTATGGAACATTTATATTCATTTTAGTTGCTGTAGACTATTATTTTATGCACTATAAAAAGCCGTTATCCCTTTTACTTTTCAACCGTTCTTCCCGATTTCACCTCAATATAAATATTAGGAACGAATGATTTAATTTTCTATCATTATATTTTATTGATATGTAATTGTTTGTTGTTCAGCTATTTCTATCAAGTTCAACTAAACATTATTCAATAAATTGTAATTCAAGTTGAAATTTTGTTATTTTCGTTATCTGATTTGAAGCTCATAGGGAAAATGTGATTTTCTATTATTATATTTCATTGATTGCTTGTCTTTATTACCCCAAGAAACATAGTTGTTTATAATAGGGATACATAAACAATATACATAATGTTATACATACAATTATGAAATTATGATAAGATATAACAAGTAAAAAAAAAAGCAAATAATCATGCAATATCAACCTTGTCTTTTATGAGTAGGTATTCAAATGAGAAATGGAATTATTAAAGTCTCTGAAGCAGATATTTTTTTAAGTTAATTTTGAATCTAGTTATTGCTTCCTGTATATTCCTCAATTGACTTGGTAATGAGTTATATAGAACGATTCCTGTGTGAAAAATGGATTGTTTGCCGATATTTGTCTTAAACGTATTTGCTATTAGTAAATTTGATTGTCTTGTTCCATGATTATGTAATGAATTGATTTCATTGAAATTTAAATTCGAAATTTTCAATTTATATAGGACAAATTGAATAAAACAACATATTTTAAGTTTATATAGTGATGTCAGATCTAATAAATCTCTAGGCTTCTATAAATTCATGGTTGTTATATGTGATTGTTGTATAGTTACATTTTTCAATAAGTTATAATTTTTTTTATTTCCCTCTTTATCTGATATGAAGCTCGTAGGAAAAACGTTGTTCCTAGCACGTGCGCAATGTGTCTTCTCCGCACGCAAAAACTTATTCGAACTCCGCTCCGCGTCGTTCGCCTAACTGTATATGCGTGCGGGAAAGTAACACTTTACGCACTTGTTAGGAAAATAACTATTTCCGTCGCGTGCGGAGAAGTACAACTTTTCGCACTTGTTAGGTGAATAACTATTACATGATGTTCTGTAGTCTAGATTGAAAATAATTTAGGAGTGGTAGATAATTATCAAATATCACTATGTATTATCATGTATTATGTACCTGATAACTCGTCGTCTGTCGTTTGTCTTGGTCCATAACTTTCTCCAGATCCTATTGAACTTTCTTCCTGGTTGCGGTAATATCTTCCGAAAGTATTATTAGTTATACTTTTCCTGAAATAGATCCCAAATGAAATGACCTATAGGTGAGTCATGTTCTTTTCTATTCCACAAAGTAGTTTTTCTCCAAGCGACAGATAGTGAGATGAATAACGAATAAAATACACTACACTGTTTTACCACTAACCAAACCGATTTTTTAACGCCTCGACACGTGTTTTGCTAACTATGTTAGATTAAAACTCAAGTTTTAATCAGTTTTAATCTTCTCCTGAAGATGCTAACATAGTTAGCGAAACACGTGTCGAGGCGTTAAAAAATCGGGTTGTTTAGTGGTGAAACAGGGTAGTGTATTATCGTGCCAAAGGTTCCAGTCTTCGATATACAGGGTAACTCACGGTCGATGGTACGTTTAGACGTTTATGGAGAACGGGACATAGGATCATTCTGAAATTTTGGTTACTCACGTCGTTGCTCTTGGTCTATCGATCTAAAATATTTTCAGTTCTGCGGCGTTGCCGCTTCTATCGAAAAGTAGCAACAACTTTGTTATTTTAAATGGAACACCCTGTATTTTATTGCATTTTCAGATTCTCTCTGAAGAGCTAATTTCATCGATGTATCACACTTGGGGTCTAGCGGAAATGATTACAGAGATATAGGATGTGAAAAATCGACATTTTTCAACTTTAGGATTTTTTTTGCCCAAACTATTCATTATTGGTCAAAACGGCTCACATGTCCCTGTCTCAACTTTTGATCAACTATCTACTAACATTTAATTGAAACAAATACAGGGTGGTGCAGAATTCAGAATCTTGATCACCCGGTATATGTCCCAATTAAATATCAGTAGATAGTTATCAAAAGTTGAGATAGGGATATATAAGCCGTTTTGACAAATAATGAATAGTTTCGACAAAAAAAATTCCTAAATTTGAAAAATGACGATTTTTCACACCCTATATCTCTGTAATCATTTCCGCTAGACCCCAAGTGTGATACATCGATGAAATTAGCTCTTCAGAGAGAATCTGAAAATGCAATAAAATACAGGGTGTCCCATTTAAAATAACAAAGTTGTTGCTACTTTTCGATAGAAGCGGCAACGCTGCAGAGCTGAAAATATTTCAGATCGATAGACCAAGAGCAACTACGTGAGTAACCAAAATTTCAGAATGATCCTATGTCCCGTTCTCCATAAACGTCTAACGTACCATAGACCGTGAGTTACCCTGTATAACGAATAAAATCACTAGAAATTGAAATTTTTAATCAAGAAATAAAAAGAAGAAACTGAATGACACCAATCAAAAAATAACATCAAAAGATTAGAAAAAGAACTAAAACAGTAACCATTCCTAACAAGTTCTGATTTTTGTATTCTCGATCAAATCTCTCCATCATTCTCCAAACACTTTTCATATCTCTTTCGCACGTTATATTGTTCAAACTCTCCCCAGTTCTTTTGGTGGTATCTCTCTGCAAACTGTTATTTTTCTTGGCCTGATCTAATCCTGGCTACCATTATACTCATACCATTATCCAAAAATTGTAACGTGAGAAATGGTTTTGAAAATTGTTATTGTAGTAAAAAATGCCTAATCCATTTTCTTCAATTCTGCTGGGGTTTTTGTGATCGCAGTAGGCTAAGAAATTTTGATTAATAATTTTTTTTGCTCGACAGAGTAGGTAATTTTGACTAATGGGTATATTATGGGAAGAAAAAAAATCCTAAATCGTCCTAGGAAAAACATCCTCATGCCTACATTTCTAAAACATCCCAAAATATCCCAGGGATACCTCTCAGTAGGCAAACAAAGAAATGCCACAGAAGAACAAAAACAATACTTCAATATCCTTCAAGGACCTCTTTGGTCAGTGCATATTACGCCTCAAAAAAACATCCTCATGCCTACATTTCTAAAACATTCCAAAATATCCCAGGAATACCTCTCAGTAGGCAAACAAAAGAAATGCCACAGAAGATCAAAAACAATACTTCAATATCCTTTAAAGACCTCTTTGGTCAGTGCATATTACGTTTCAAAATGACATCTTCATACCAACATTTTCAAAATATCCCAAGGACTTTGTGCTCGCTGGGCAGGGTTTTTGCTACATTTTTCATGTTAGTACCTACACCAAGCTAGTCTTTTATAGCTTCTGCATGCAATCATACACTCCTACTTATTTTTATAAAATAAAAATATGAGTATTATTTCAATAAACGTGGAGTAAGGACAAATCAGATGATTTGCCCCAAAATGTCAGTGCGTTTAAAGAATTTTCCTATCAGAGAGCCTAAAAGAAAAATTCACTAGCTTGTCAGTGACAATTTGTATTGAAAAAATTTTTGGAGAAGAGAAATAAAGGTATATAGAAAAAATATCAAATTCTCACTCATCTTTGGACGTTTCGGGACCGATTCAGCTCCCGTTTTCAACATGAAAAGAGATTATTTCAATAGCGAAGTCGTATAATATGTCTTGAAGCTTTTCAGTTTTCAATAGGAATTGAGTTGGAGAACATTTTCCAATGTGGTGGACTTCGTTATTGAAAATTTGTTGGTCAGAAGATATTGATTTGGCTCTATCATGGAGTGATTTGATTATTCCTTTCTTAATACTTTTCTAATGATTTGATTGAAAGTTCTAGTATATCTGTTAGTTGGGTCCTTTTACGATATACACTCGTTACAAAGATGTTATTTGATTTTTCAATAAGAACATCTAGAAACGGTAATTGAGTGAACTTTATTGTAGGTTCGGCATTGTTCACATAATTCAGAAAATTATCTAGCCCCATAATGTTATGAGGCCAAATTATGAAAATATCATCTACGTATCGCCACCATGTTGTAGGTTGTTTTTGTTTTTTTTTTGACGATGTCTTCAATATTCTCCATAAATATATTGCTTAAAATTGGAGATAATGGCGAACCCATGACCATTCCAAAGTTTTGTCGATAAAACACAATTCCAAAAATTCCATTATTCCTTCGATACGTAGATTAGTTCATTCAGTGAGATTTTCACCGTCTTCTAATTCATGTTTCACTATTTGTAAAGTTTTATCTATTGGAACATTTGTGAATAAACTTCCTACATCAAAACTAACAAGAGTATCATTTATATCAAGAGTGATGTCATTAAGCTTTTCTTTAAACGCAGTGACATTTTGTCCTCACTAGAGTCACTACACGTATATTGAAATAATCTTCATATTTTTATTATATTAGAACGAGGAGAAAAAATCCCAAAAAAATATATTAAAAAAAAAATCCAAGAAAAACTAAAAAAAAAAAGATGGAATGATGAAGCTAAGATATGTTACCAAATCTAGTAACCTAACCTGAGATATGTTACCAGATCTAGTAACCTAACCTGAGATATGTTACCAGATCTAGTAACATAACCTGAGATATGTTACCAGATCTAGTAACCTATCCTGAGATATGTTACCAGATCTAGTAACCCAACCTAAGATATGTTACCAGATCTAGTAACCTAACCTGAGATATGTTACCAGATCTAGTAACCTAACCTAAGATATGTTACCAGATCTAGTAACCTAACCTGAGATATGTTAAAAGATCTAGTAACCCAACCTAAGATATTTTACCAGATCTAGTAACCTAACCTGAGATATGTTACCAGATCTAGTAACCCAACCTAAGATATGTTACCAGATGTAGTAACTTAACCTAAGATATGTTACCAGATCTAGTAACCCAACCTAAGATATGTTACCAGATCTAGTAACCTAACCTGAGATATGTTACCAGATCTAGTAACCCCACCTAAGATATGTTACCAGATCTAGTAACCCAACCTAAGATATGTTACCAGATCTAGTAACCTAACCTGATGAGATATGTTACCAGATCTAGTAACCCAACCTAAGATATGTTACCAGATCTAGTAACCCAACCTAAGATATGTTACCAGATCTAGTAACCTAACCTGAGATATGTTAAAAGATCTAGTAACCCAACCTAAGATATGTTACCAGATCTAGTAACCTAACCTGAGATATGTTACCAGATCTAGTAACCCAACCTAAGATATGTTACCAGATCTAGTAACCTAACCTGAGATATGTTACCAGATCTAGTAACCCAACCTGAGGTATGTTACCAGATCTGGTAACATTACCAGATCTGGTAACCTAACCTGAGACATGTTACCAGATCTAGTAACCTAACCTGAGATATGTTACCAGATCTAGTAACCTAATGTCACTGAGAGGTGTCAAACTATAACGAGGAGAAAATATCTCAAATAATCTATAAGTAAATTGAAGCTACTTTTACATGCAGAATTGTGAATTTAATTGATGCTACCATGGTTCTACTTTCAGGTGGTAGGTAAGCAAACCAAACTATTGAATACATGAATAGGCTCTCGTGGATAATCTCTGGGCTCACCTAATAACTATACTCCCCATTCCAGGTCGAATGAATATACTGGGAGGCTCTTGATGCAACTTGTTGTTCGGATTGTTCCTAAGCTCCTGCATGAAATCAGGTTGGGATTTGGATCTGGTTAGTCCTTGGCTGGGAGGTGGAGTTGGACTATCATCGATATACTCAGCCTCATTGAAAATGCCTTCTAATCGCCCTCGTTCTTTGAAAGTGGAGCCTTCCAAGGTGCCACCATATAGTACTTCAGAATTTCTTCGTATGCCCTTTATAGAGTTCACTGTGAGTTTTCCATCTTCTATACCACTTATCTGTGAATCAAGTAGGTATTGTATATTAAAAAACAAATTGACTACTGCATGCCTGATCCAGATGGATATAGGTACCTAATACAGGATGATTCACAGTCGATGATAGGTTAGACGTTAATAGAGAACGCAAGGAAGGACCTGTTCTATCGATCGAAAATATTTTCAAAATTGCGACGTTGCTGTCTAACTAAAAGTCCTAGCAACTTGATTTTTTCAATGGATCACCATGTATATTATTGCAATTTTAGATTCTTCCTGAAGAGCTTACTTCATTAATGCACTAGGGGTCTAGCGCGGGGATGATCACAGTGTGCAAAATCGAGATTTTCAACCATAAAATTTTATTTTCTACAGGCGTGCGTGATTCACTCTATACCCACACGCAATTTAGGTTGTGAAATGTCATTTTCACGCAGTAGTGCGGGAAAATGACATTTATATAATATTCTGGCAAAATATTTGTGGTGGGTGACACAATATGAAAATTTTAGGTTTTTTATTGTGGTATTTAGTAGGTTTGTACAAAATTATTTTGAAAATGAAGAAATATTGAAAAATAATAATTGCCTGTTATATAAATCCCCCTATAGCTTTCAATTATTATGTGAAGTTATAATTATTGAGAAAGTCACTCTTTGCATACTGGGACATAGTGAAACAGTCTTGGAATGTTTTATTCTGCAGATTTAATTTCCAAAATTCCTGGTCACCATTTTGAATCATTGAAGAACCCCGCTGTTCATAATATTTTTTGGCTGTTAGTGTTAGTTGTTAATAAGTACTTGTTATTTTGGTTCCATGAGCTGAAGTCCATGTAGGTATTATATTTTTTTGACTCGGCCAGCAGAGAAAAAAATATTTGAAATGAATTATCAAAACACAAACTGATCTTTCATCTTCCAACAATGAATAAATAATTTTTAATTAAATCGAGAGCACATTTTGAAAGTAAGATATTAGACTTTCATTAGGATCATATACATATGCCATATCAAAATCCATGGCACCATACGTTTTTTATTTTGCACCAACATTTTTTTTCTTCAAATATACAGTGTGGTATATAAAAAATATTAAATGTAGACTATATTGAACGGATCTGTTGAGCATCCACTTGTGATCTAATAATAAAATATCTGATAATGGGAATCTATTTCAATCTATGTATTTGTATATAATATACATATTTTCTAGTTTAATAGTCTACATGATATAATCCAGGATGGTGATATCTAGAGAACAACAATAATTCATGAAACATTTCTCTTATAAAATTATATTGTGAAATATTGAAAGGAGTTATTAACTTAAATGATGGAAGATTAACTTTTATTGATCTCTAATTACTTAGTGATTGAATCTTTCAATTACAGAACTTTCTATGAAGATATAATGAACAATTTGGTTCTACGGGGGTGCCTGAAAGGTTTGTACAAAATGATACCACAGACTCCTGAGACCAAAGTGAGATGATTGAACCAAACCTTTATACCAAAACGCTCCGTTTAGCCGCTACAGGACGTTTGAATTGATTGTATATTTTTTATTTAGATGAGGAAGTGTGTGCCACATATGATATTATTGATGGTTTCATAAAAAAATTAGTAAGAACCTATTATAATTAAATAATTCTGAAGCCTATCAGCTATACATCAAATTGAATTTGGTCATATAACTTCCAATCCAATAGAACTATCAAAATCTGTCAAGGGGGTGAAAGTTTGGTATTGAATGAGATAATAGAGAACAGTATTGGTTGTTTGTTTTTATTAATCATGCCAAATATTTCTCAATCAAATTGTCCTGACCAGGTATTGTTTAAGATTCACTTTAAATCTGCTTACATCATGTATATTTTTCAATTCATTCGGTGAATATGCACTCAATTGATTTGTTTTGTAATTTCATTAGTGGTTTGAGGCGTGAAATATTATTTGTGCTCCCCCAAATCAAAATTAAATATTGTAAATTCGAATATATGAGGCAAATGAAAATACACTTTAGGTATTTTACAGGAATGATATTTCAGATTTTGAATGAAATGCCTATGATTGGATCAAATGGTCTATGTGTTTGGGAAATTATAATAATTATTCGAATTTACTAGAATAAAAAGAATAACTCTTATACACTCACATGCAAAAAAAAACGCAACAAGTAAATATTTGGTAAAATTTGAAGTCTCATAGTTTTTTTACTTTTACTTCAATTTCCAAAATTTTTTCAGCAAACTGTAGATAAAATCATCAATTTCAACTGGCACATTCAGTATTTTGTTGAATGCTGGCTCATTAGTCATTATACAGGGTTAACTAGAAGTATGTTGATATACCCTAATTTTAAAACATCCTGTAGAATAATTTCGTGGTCAAATTCTTTCAAAATAGCAATTTTTGTTAAGAACCGATCGTTTTCAACATTTTGTTTTTTGGTTCAAGTCTTAAGTTGCTTTAGTTGATTTTTAAGAGGGAAATGAACTCCAAACAACAGAGTTTACCTAATTTTAAGAAATGTTATTTTTTGACGACATGGATTTGCTCATTGTGCCATAATGCCAGTATGACAGCTCAGTTCATGAGTGTTACAATGAAATGGCAGCAATATATTGTTTAGTTATAATGATAAATAATTAATACCAAATTATTTATGCAAACTCATTCAATTCAAATTAAAAATCAAACTTCTAAACAAACCAGTTCAACTGTAACTTAAATAACCTGATGAGGAAACGTACTTTTTACAACAAAATCAGCTCAATATTTTGTATTACCACCTCTGGCTCTCACAACTGCCTGCATACGTTGGTTCATACTGTCAATTAGGTTTCGAATAGCATCTTGTGGAATATTTTGCCATTCCTCCTGAATGGCTAAACGAAGTGCATTTATGGTAGCCGGAGCTACTTCACGATCTCTGACTCGCCTACCAAGCATGTCCCACACATGCTCTATGGGGTTGAGATCAGGCGAACATGCTGGCCAGTTCTGTTTGTTAATACCTACTTCCGCGAGGTATTGTGTGACACAAATTGCTCTATGTGGCCGCGCATTATCCTGCACCAGGATAAAAAGTCATGGCCGATAAATCCACTAAAAGCTATAACGTAATTGCTTAATATCTCTTCAATATATCGGTGAGCCGTTAAAGATCCATCGATGACCACCAACTCAGTGCAGCCCCCCCTGGATATTCCTGCCCAAACCATTACTGAACCTCCTCCATAACTCAGATAGGGACTGAACGTGCATTCTGCAAATCTTTCTCCATTCCTTCGCCATACTCTTTTCCGTCCATCTGGAGAATGTAAGCAGAATCTGGATTCGTCAGTGAAAAGAACATTGTTCCATTGCCCCAAGTTCCAATGTAAATGTTCACTAGCAAATCTAGCAAATTCCAGTCTAGCTACTCGGTGACGCGGAAGTAATTTGGGTCCCCTTGCTGGTCTTCAAGCTTTTGCGCAATTTTCCGCACTTAAAACCATGGTTCGAGTTCCTTAAGGTCTCTCACTGTCAAACTGACATTAGGACAACAACAAGCAAAGCCACCTCTTCGAAAAAATTACATTTTTCAAAGTAAACGTTGATGATAAGTTCATTTCCTTCTTAAAAATCAACTAGTGCACCTAAAGACTTGAACCAAGAAACAAAATATTGAAAAGGATCGGTTCCTAACAAAAATTGGTATATTGAAAGAATTTGACCACGAAATTATTCCACAGGATGTTTTAAAATTAGGGTATATCAACATACTTCTAGTTAACCCTGTATAATGACTAATGGGCCAGCATTTAACAAAATACTGAATGTGCCAAATGAAATTAATGATTTTATCCACAGTTTGCTGAAAAAATTTTGGAAATTGAAGTAAAAATAAAAAAACTATGAGACTTCAAATTTTACCAAATATTTACTTGTTGCGTTTTTTTTGCATGTGAGTGTAGTAATCTCACCTTGAAATCGTCGTCTGTTTGCCCTAAACGGTTGTTCTTGCTGGCCAAAATCCTCCTTTGCACGGTACTCATGCTTCCTTTTCCTGCGGTACCACCGCTAATGATGGCGCTGTATGTGTTTCTTCTGTCTGTCGGTTGGTCGTTGGCTAAATTGGTCATCGAACCGCCTATTATCCTTGATTTCAACGTTTCTATCATCGAAGGTCTGTAATCTTTGCTCTTCCTTCGTTCCAGCTTTTCGTGCATCTGTTCTTTTTTTGCCAAGCGTTTGTTGAATTCCTGCAATGGGCGAGTGGAATTTGATGAATTATTGGCATTCAATTACTCCACTGTATTGTTAGGGACTTAAATTGATTTTTGCAGAACTTCTCACACTTTTTTTTATGCTAATAATGAGTGTATGCGTTGTTCGAAATTGTTGAATTTCGGAGCGCATTTCAAACGTAGCGTGCATGGCCACTATTTGGCGATACGACGAATAAATGGTGGCGTCAGCTTTTATGCTGTTTCGTTATTGGTCAGATAATCTTCCATTCCCATTCATGAAGCAAGGTTGTCAAGTCAACAATTATAAGTTATCAAAAATATGTTAGAGTTCTGCCGTTGAATGAAACATAATAGGAGGAACCAGAATGTCCAAATATTTCTAATACTCCATCTATCTATCAGAAACAACTAGCAACTTTGTTATTTCAAATGGAACACCCTGTATTTCATTGCATTTTCAGATTTTTCCTGGAGAGCTGATTTCATCAATGCATCACACTTGGGGTCTAGCAGGAATGATTACAAATCGAGATTTTTCAATTTAGGATTTTTTTGTGTCGAAAATATTCATTATCGATGTCCCTATATTAGCTTTCGATTCACTATCTACTGGAATTTAATTGGAGAAAATACAGGGTGCTTCAAGATTCAAAATTCTGTTCACCCTGTATCTGTTCCAATTAAATGTCAGTAGATAGTGAATCGAAAGTTGAGATAGGGACATGTAAGCCGTTTTGATCGATAATGAATAGTTTCCACACACAAAAATCTCGATTTTGAATACCCTATATCTCTGTAATCATTCCTGCTAGACCCCGAGTGTGATACATTGATGAAATCAGCTCTTCGGGAAGAATTTAAATATGCAATAAAATACAGGGTGCTCTATTTGAAATAACGAAGTTGCTAGTTTTTTCTGATAGAAGTGTCAACACTGTATCGATGATAATATTTTAGACGGATAGAGAATGTTCAATTATCAAAGCATCCCAATTTTCAGAATTTTTTGTCTTTTCGTTCTCCAGATACTTCTAATAGGCCATCCACCGTGGATCACCCTGTATATATCCATTTTTTTGTGTTCATAAATATATCTGAGAATATTCTTTTCCAATAGTTGATAATGTCATTAACATGTTTGCTCAAGAGAAGTTCAGAAGAAAGAAATTTCAATAATTAAAATTGTGTAGGTATTTATGAAGTAGAAAATCAATAGTGATTAAGAAAAATTGAGAGATAGATTTTTTTCATGTTCTGGTTCCCACGAAAAGGGATATCCTGTAATGTTCAGAGCACATCGTGAGAACCAAGGGAAATGAGGTAGGAATTGGTATTCTCCTTGAATTTCTGGAGGTTATATGCCTCGGGGAACACCTCCCTTGGCAATGTGTTCCAGAGAGTCGCTGTTCGTTGGATAAACGAGTCTTTGGAAAGAGATGTTCTGCAGGTCTCCAAAGTGACCATGAAAGGGTGCGAAGCCTCAACTCGACGGGTTAATCTCGCGGGGACTGCCAATGGAGGAACAATTGTTGATATTTCAGAAGAGCGTCGTCCATGAAAATATCTATAAAGTATGGCTAGATCGCCAACTTGTCTACGGTGTTCCAGAGAAGTAAGTGAGTTCGTGAGCGAGGCAACCCCCACGAGACCAATTGCCCTTTTTTGGACAGAATCCAACAGTTTCAGGGTATGTTTGGGTGCTGCACTCCAAATATGGGAACAGTATTACAGGACAGAGGTCGGATCTGTGCCTTATAGATCATAAACAGCTGACTGGAAGTGAAATAGCTCCTGGCTCGAAACAAAAAACCAAGTTTTTGGGATGCACTTTTAGCAATTGATCTCACGTGATTTTCCCAAGCAGTGAAATGGATGTCTTCAAGGGTATGGTTACTCCTGACATGCTTATGGTGGGCATAGTGAGATCGGCTTTCATAGAGAAAAGTCATGCTTGTGTTTTGTTTGAATTGAAATCTACCAAGTTATTGGATCCCCATTCTAGAATTGTTGAAAAGTCCATATTTATGTTGTCAACATTTCTCCCTCGTTCGTTTCTGATTTGCCTGGCTGGTATTGGAGCCCTGGAAGAGAAGGCGGTATGGAGGATACTATCATCCGCGAAGCTGTGTACTGGACATGAAGTTGCTTCCAACAAATCGTTGATATATGGAGTAGAAATAGTGTTGGTGCTAGAATTGATCCTTGCAGAACACCAGCATTTATGATAAGAGAGTCAGATGAAACTCCGTCGACCACTACATGGAGAGACCTATTTGAAAGAAAACTAGCTAGCAGAGAACATAGTTGGGGAGGCAAGCCATGAGATGGAAGCTTGGCGAAGAGTCCCTGGTGCCAGACTCGATCGAAAACCTTGGAGATATCAAGTGCCACAGCTAAGGTTTCACCATATTTTTCAATAGATTGCTGCCATATATGTGAGACGTAAGCGAGCAGGTCACTAGTTGATCTCTGATGACGGAAGCCATATTGCCTATCGTTGTTAATACCTGAATGTTCCAGGTATTTCATAAGCTCGATGTTGAAAGCTTTCTCCATGATCTTTGAAATTATAGATAGCAGTGCGATCGGTCTGTTGTTGTTACGTAGGGTCTCTTTGCCTTTTTTAGGAACTGGTTGTACTCTTGCAATTTTCCAGTTGGACGGGAATATCCCCAATTTGTAAGAGTCGTTGAATAACTTGCAGACAACAGGTGTTAGTTCGGGAGCACATTTCTTAAGACCAATCGGTGGGATTCCGTCGGAGCCACAAGCTTTGTTGGTGTTGATGAGACCCAATAATAAAATCTTCCTTATAGTACGTTGGCGAAAGGTGATCTCCGGCATAAATTTCCAGCAAATAAATGCGCAAAAATGTTGGCTTCCTCCTGGGCAGTTGTGGCTAGTGTTCCATCTTCCTTGGTTAGAGGAGGAAACGAGCTAGAAGTGAAGTTTCTTCCTACAGCTTTGGCGAAATGATCAAACATAAGTTATTTCTATAAACAGATCATGGATGTGCATCTCGTCTGAATTTCTACACTCACCTTCACTCTCTTCTTGGCGTCCTCCTTGGCCCGCTCTTGCATCGCCCTCGCCTTCTTCTTGTCGCTAGCCTCCAGCTTTGCATGCACGCCATCTATGAACCTCAGGATGTCCTCGCGATTGTTGATGCCGGCCAACTCCTGCGCCGTCCTGCCGTCGACGTCCGTCGCGTAAATGTTGGCGCCGAAGTTGACTAGGAAGGTGACGACGTGCTTGTGCCCCTGCGCTGCTGCCAGGTGCAACGCGGTGTTGCCAAATAGGTCGGCCTTGTCGGGATCTCCTCTGTGAAGGAAATGAGTCGAATTGATCGCTCTGTAACTTTTTTAATTCTTGTCCGATTTTAGTTTTCAAGAAAAGTTGATGCTTGATTATTATAAAGGGAAAGTAATTCTTTCACCCTTGACTCCTCAATGCCCTGTGACAAAATTGAGTAGTTAACCAGGCGTCACCCAGGTGGAAAATCGGTACATTCTCACCCAGATGGAGTTTGATGTACCCCATAATTAGAGATTCGAGGAAAAAAAATCAATTGTAATATTTCTAGATTTGTATGTGAAATGAGTTTTAAGATGTATTTATTTCATGATTATAAACAGAAACTTTTTATAGTATGTTTAATTCATGAGATATCATGAAAGACATATGATGGCGAAATTCTCACAGGTAAAAAACATGATATCTTTGAAAACTGTTTAAAAAATATACAACACTCAATTCTGAAAGATTTCATGCAAAACTAAATATTAAGATGTTCAAGTTATCAGCTAGAAAAGTAACATGTAGTATAAGAGAAAAACAAAAAATGATCCATTTTCTTATTGGAATTTACATGTATCTCTCAGAATAAAATACACAGTGTGACCCACTTCTAATGGAAACATCCCTGTATCATTCAGTGATATACACTGCTCGTCAACAGCCATGGAACCAACCCAATTTCCGGAAAATGGTATTAGGAGTCAAAATAGGTCGAAAATCACTTCAGATTCGGAATCAGGACGCCCAACTCACTAACAATACATATTTTTTCTGGAAAATGTTCAGTTCTGAAAAGTCAACAAGAACATCGTGAGAATAACCAAGGGAAATAAGGTAGGAACTGGTGTTCTTGAATTTCTGGAGGTTATATGCCTCGGGGAACACGTCCCTTGATAATGTGTTTCAGAGCCTCGCTGTTCGTTGGATGAACGAGTCTTTGGAAAGAGATGTTCTGCAGGTCTCCAAAGTGACCACGAAGGGGTGCGAAGCCTCGCGGAGACTGCCAATTGTTGATATTTCAGAAGAGCATCGTCCATGAAAATATCTATAAAATAGAGCAAGATCGACAACTTTTCTGCGGTGTTCCAGGGAAGTGAGTGAGTTTGTGAGCGAGGCATCACCCACGAGACGAATTGCCCTTTTTTTGGACAGAATCCAACAGTTTCAGGGTATGTTTGGGTGCTGCATTCCAAATATGGGAACAGCATTCCAGGACAGGTCGGAACTGTGCCTTATAGATCATGAGCAGCTGACTGGGAGTGAAATATTTCCTGGCCCGAAACAGAAAACCAAGTTTTTAGGATGCACATTCAGCAATTGATCTCACGTGATTTTCCCAAGAAAAGTTATTGCTGATAGTAATACCAAGCATCGAAATGGATATCTTCAAAGGTATGGTTACTGCTGACAAGCTTATGTTGGGCACAGTGAGATCGGCTTTCCTAGTGAAAAGGCATGCTCGTGCTTTGTTTGCATTGAAATCTACCAAGTTATTGGATCCCCATTCGAAAATTGTTGCCAAATCCATATTTATGTTGTCAACATTTCTCCCTCGTTCGTTTCTGATTTGCCTGGCTGGTATTGGAGCCCTGGTAGTGAATAAAAAGGTATTTTGAATCCCTAGACAAAAAGTTCAACGCCCGACCAACGAGAGGGCTATAATTTATCGAGGGATTTAAAAACACTTCAGTCCCGAGGTGTATATACTATTTTATGCACTTCAGGATAGGTGAAACGTTAAAGAAAAAATAACGAAAAAAAAAATTGAATGCTACTAAACTGTGACTCTAACTAAGTAAAACATAAATGAATAAATATTTGTCAAACACGCGTCACAGCGATTGATACACGTTGATAGCGATGGAACAAATCGAAAAGGCAGCTCAAGAAGCTGAAGGCCAATTATTACCAAGAAAATCTGGAGAACAATATAAAAAACAGTTTTCTGAGTTTATCAAATGGTGCAAAATACGGAACGTAGAAAAATATACAGAAGAAAATATACTGCTAGCATATTTCTTGGAAAAGTCAAAAAAGCTCAAAGCATCGTCATTGTGGAGTGTACATCCAATGATAAAAGCCACAATTGCAACAGGCATTTTGAAAATACATTTCTAAATTCAGCTTCAATTGCAATAAAGACGCATTTACTTCAAATCCCTAGGAGTTTAAAGTAATTTTAAATCCCTAGGGATTTTAAGTACCACTTTTTCCCAAATATAGGGAATAAAGGTACCCTTCAAATCCCCGAAGTGCATAAAAGAAATTATGACCTTTTAGTGTACTAAAAACTGCTATAAATCATGCAACATGATTTCAATAGTCTATCAGTTTTCCTATAATATTAACTGATGATGTATTTTGGCATCTATTTTTATTGATTCTTACTCAATAATCAATCACTGATAATAATCAATGAGTCCTTGGAATCATGACACTTATCTGCACTTATCAAAATTAGTAAAATATGTTTGAAAATTCAAATTGTTACAATCGTTATGTTATCTTATATTTCTAACATATATAATAGGTACTATCTGTTATCGGTCGTTCTATGAAGTAAAAATGTTCTTACCCTCTTCCACATAGTACTCTGAGCGCATCCAAATTTCCGTAAAACGCCGCGTACAATGTAGGAGTCATCCCCTGTTCATCCCTGACATTGCAGTCTCTCTTTGTCGTTTCCTTCAATACTTCTATGATGCCATCTTTGGCAGCTCTGTGAATGAAAAATTCAAAAATACAATCAGCATTGCAGAAGGTCAAGCATAATACAGGGTGTACCATAAGTACGTTGAAATATTCGAGTGATGTATTCCTGAGACAATTTCAAGAAAAAAAGTCTATATAAACTTGTGTCCGACAATGCTTCGTTTCGGAGATACAGTGTGTTGAAATTGTTTTTTTTTGTGCGCTTTTATTTGGCGATACGTCGAATAAACGGTGACGTCAGATTCTATCCTGTTTCGTTATTGGCCAGATAATCTTCCATTCCCATTCACGAAGCAAGTCAAGTTACCAATTATAATCAAGTTATCAAAAATATGTTGAATAAAACATACCCATGTTATTATAGTTCATTCTATATAAACCTGTGCCCGACAATGTTTCGTTTCGGAGATACAGTGTGTTGAAATTGATTTTTTTCATAAAGGACGTGGAAAGAAATTCTGAATTGAGAAAACTCACGAATCTGCGAATTAGGTCTATGAAAATAACAAGTTTCCATCGTTCAAGTTTGAACCCCTTCAAGAAAACCAAAACCACTCTGCGTTATACCTATATTTTTTCCCCGAGGTGCTCCAACTATCTTTGGATCGACTACAATATTCATCTCATGATTACTTTTATAGTTTCCTTTGTGATGTTGACAAATTGGCAATACATATACTGATAAAATATCGATTCACTAAGTTGATCATTTAATATATTTCGAATAGCAATTCCTCATAATAATGCTTTTATTGTTTGAGATAAGATAAATTTTTTATTGCTCATCTACATGATGGGCCTTTTCAGTAACGTAAAATATGACCCCATTCCGCTATAATGTTACGAAGGGAAGTTAAAATCGTTTTCCAACTAGCGTGCGGAAAAGAAACTTTTCCGTACGATTTTACTTTTCCGCATTATTTTCACTTTTCCGCACGATTTCGGAGGAAATACCAGGAGACATGTGGTAATAACTGTTGGCACCAGAACGTACCCATAGCAACAGTCGCTATAAACTGACAGTAGTACCTAATTCCAATTGAAAATGGACAACTCAGGAACTTTGAAGATCTCCTCCCGGAAATAATTGATGCAAACACTAACCAATCAAATTCAAATAAGAAACGACGTTCTTCAAGATGTTGCGGCATCTGCTATATTACAGCATGCAACAAACACAAATTGCACTTTCAATTTTAATATTTACCTTCGTTAATGTTTTAGTTGTTGTTATTTACATGTTCTTCAAATAAGTTTCCTATTATATCGATGAAGAAAAAATCTATTCCATTATTTTTCAGTGCATGAAAATATCGTGCAGAAAAGTTACTTTACCGCACAAGTGCTGAATAGTTACTTTTTCTACTACTGCTATGAAAAGTAGCGCATTTCTCATAGCTTACTTAGTTTCAAAACCATGTATTGACCATACTGTGAGAAATATTTTTTCTCACGGCACTTTGCCAACACCACATACATTTCCATGGAGAATCAACAAAAATCGACCAAAACTTGATTGGCTGCCGTTCAGCTTTGAATAGTTGTCACAACTGTCAGAAAAAGTTTTTTAAATTCTTCAGGTTACTTCTGCTGTTTTTGATAGAAATCGCATTTTCCATAAAATATTGTTTGTTTGTTCAACAATTCATAATAAATAATATGATGTATGTACCGAGAGGTAACGATTTTGATAAATACACCGCCAGAGACAGAGATAATGGAAAAAGCTGCGGAAGTTGGATTTGTTTCCGGGAATTTCAAGAAAAAAGTATGAATTGGCATATTGGTACGAAAAATTTATGGAATCTAAAAAAATACAGAAATAAAATCTTTTTCGGATATTGTACCTACTTTTTTGAAATACTTTGAGGAACTAGGAAAGGCGTCTACTATTTGGTCACAATATTCAATGTGGCATAGTGCCACATTATAAAATGAATACCAATAAGTTACATTACTCGGATTCATTGAATAAGTGCAGTTGTAGAAAAAGTATAGTGTGCAACATGTGGGGAAAAGCACTTCTCCCACTTGTTGCACAATATATACTAGGACTAACTAAATGATCCATCATGTAACTATTCTGTCTTATGTGTCATTTCGTAGCATCATAATAAAATATTGTTCATTTAAAACCTTTTTTTTCCATAACTATAATGGACAAAATCACTCGTAGGAAAAACTTTTTTCTCCGATTGGCAGCAAATATTGATTTTGCTGACACATATCAATCAGCAAAGTATTACTTTTCCTGCCTAGGCAGCAAAGTGGTTACTTTGCTGATTGATATGTATCAGCAAAATTAATAATTCATAAATCGTTTATAATTTCCTCCATATTTCATCCGAGACTTCTCCGGCAACAAATTCAACTCTATATTTTTTGCCACCTCCCTTATTTCTGGAGGTTTAAGTACTTCCAGGTCGCTATCACTGTCCATTATATAATAATTTAAATATACCGATATTTTTTCGCACAACTGTCAGAAATTTCATGAATTGTCAAACTATAATGGACATTTCCATAGCAACCAACCAATCCAACAACTGCGATTTCTATCAAATTTTATTTTAATTGAACACTACAGGAAAAATAAAGAGATATATATCATTATGAACAATCCGAGAAAAAATTATATGTTCAACTCGGCAGCAAAGTAGATTGACTGCCTTAGCTGGATTCCTAGCCTCGCAACGCTCGGCTATGAATTCAGCCTCGGCAGTCAATCTACTACTTTGCTGCCTAGTTAAACAAATAACTATTACCCGAGCTTTTACCTAACTCTTGCGGAAAATGTCTTATTTATCGAACGACAAATGATGAATTATTTGATATTGAAAATGCTATTTCAATACCTGTGAATTCAAACGCTACTGAGCTGTGATGTCAGTTTCTTTTTGCAATTTGATTGGCTGGAGTTCTGACAGCTGGGAATCACTCCGCTGTTGCCAGATGTCTATAAAATCCTTGAATTCATCCTATGTGCAAGATGGTGCAAAAATGCAATTTACATAGTAATTGATGATTAATAACTGATTAGTAATTGATTGGTAATTCACTGCTGATCACATTCAAAACACTCTGGACTCCAAAGTATTTCATTAGTTTCAAGATTAGCTATAGGATAAAATGTGATGCTGGCATCTAAAAGTAAGAAACTTTTCATATACTTATAGTTGGGTTTTATGAAACTAACTATAGTTATGTTTCGTTGTTGCTGGATATACATACACAGGCTGTTCCCGAAAACGGTGTCGTTGATGAGGCGGTTATAAATGACAAAAAACAAATGGAAGAATATTTTTGTCGAAAAACGCCGTCTTGGAAAATATTGAATTTTGACGTTTTTGGTATATTTTTGGCGATTCATCATTTCATGATGTCTCATATTATACCCACTACTGTACTCTAATAATTTATTCAAGGATCTCTTGAAATTTGAAAACACCCAGTACTTCTACTTCTATCTATAGGATATTACAAACATTATATTCAATCTCGTATTCAATACAAACAGTTTGGAGTTTTTGGACCCTGACAGCTCAAAGATGCATTGAAAATTAGGTAAATATTTTTGAAAATGAAAATGCTGAAAGCCGTCAATTAAATAATTATTTTTGTTGTGCCATATACAAGGTGAACTGTTTGAAAAATATGTCATCTAAGAATTTTTCTTTATTGAAATCTTGAAAAAAAAATTATGCTGTTATTGAGGTTGAAGTACATGAAATAGGTGTAAATATATATATGTTCAATGTTCAATTCGAAAAACTAGTTGACGTTATTCGGCGTTATCAAAGGATTACACTGTAAACATGCATTAGCCAAAATCGAGGATAAAATCTAAGCGATAAGATTTCACTTCTTGAAGTGAGAGTGAGTGCGATGAGTACCTATTTAGTCACCCAGTATATATACGTACCTACATCAAATTTTATTAGAGAATGGCTCATCCTAATCATTATTTTATTGAAGCGGATATATACATGCCCACTTGAAAAAACTGTAGTTCCTGTGAAAATGCGGATGAAATAGTATAGTTACTCACTTGTGAAATCTATTTGTGGTCATCTCTCCTGCAATAAATTTCACTCTCTACTGAAAAAAGATCCGAACTTTGAATGAAAATCACTCAGGGAACCACTTCAAATTATAGACATATTGTTCACTTTGTCATGTTGTGATAACTTCAGCAGGTCAATATTTACTTGTCAAATTCGGGTCGCGATCGAAATATACTCTGCTTCAAGTTCAGGGCAATCATGGACTGATGATAACTGATATCGTTCACCTGGAGAGCCAGGTTGGCCACCTGGCAGGTGAGACAATTAAGTTAATCGGTGAACATCGCAGCTAAACGAAAGCGAACGATCATCACCCTGTAACGGTACTGCGAGCGCCATCTATTGGCGACGGCCGAAACTGGAAAGTGAGTTGGTCTTGACTTGTGGGATGCCTTTTTAGTTTGTGTCTAGGTGCAGACTCTCGAATTAGTATATGACAGAACAGGTAGAGGGCAGAACAGATCCATCTTTCAGAGCCACTGTAACCGTTCATTTGCAAGGTTTTTTTTCTATTGACTTTATTACTGTGTGTTTAACTCGAAGTGGCGACAGTTCCTTATTTTATATGGCATGTGAGACAATCAATTACGTTAATCGAAGAACATCGCAGCTAAACGAAAGCGAAGGATCATCACCCTGTAACGGTACTGCGAGCGCCATCTATTGGCGACGGTCGGAACTGAAAAGTGAGTTTGTCTTGACTCGTGGGATGCTCTATTAGTTTGTGTCTAGGTGCAGACTCTCGAATTACTTTATGAGAGAACAGGTAGAGGGCAGAACAGATCCACCTTTCAGAGTCACTGTAACCGTTCATTTGCAAGGTTCTTTGCTATTGTCTTCATTACTGTGTGTTTCAATTGAAGTGGCGATAGTTCCCTATTATATGTATGGCAGGTGAAACAATTGAGTTAATCGGAGAACATCGCAGCTCGACGAAAGCGAACGATCGTGAGTCTAAAACGCTTTCGATCGAGCCTTCCGTACTGCGACCGCCATCTATTGGCGACGGCTGAAACTGATAGGTAGGTTTGTCTTGCTGATAGGAAGACTTTTTGGTTTGGTCTAGATGCAGACTCTCGAATTAGTTTATGAAAGAACATGTAGAGGGCAGAACTAATACACTATCCAGAGTCACTGTAACCCTTCGAACACAAATTTTATAATTCTGATTTTTTTATCCAATGATAATCTTTTTTCTGTGACTCCTTTTATTTGTGTATTATTGTATTTTATTTTTGATTGTATAAGATTTTCTGAAAATTGTTTTTCATTTATGTCTCTGTAATCCTGACGTACTATAAACCATAATATGTGTGACTAACATAGTCCAATTAGTCTCCCTAACAACACAGGGATGTCCTAGGTACGTCCCTTTTTTGTCCCGCGGTACAAGGACATGATTGGGGCATCCAGGGGATGTCGCGCAGTGGTTGTCCAGTGGACATCCCGCCCGGTACATCCCTAGGTTATCCTATTCGTGTCCTTGGAATATCTGATATCCATTCACATCAGAGTCATTGAATTTCATCAAAGTATTAAGTTGCATTTTTTTGATAATGTTTGTTTTTCTTCCGGAGAATAATCGTAATAAAGTTTCAGAACTTCTTAAGAAATTACCATTTTTCGCAAACAGAAATCGTACATGCATAATGCCCCTCACTTTTAAACACCCAAGAATGATATAATAATTATACCCAAATCCTAAAAAAGTTGAATTTATTCAGGTTTCTGTAGTTAAGTCCTGTTTATAAATCTGTTTAGTAAATAAATCTTCAGGAGGCTAATCCGTACTCGACCTACTTTTTTTTTTCTTTTGTCGAAGGGATGTCCGTGGGATATCCTTGGGACGTCCTAGGGATATCCTTTCTTCGTAGTTGGTACATCCCAGGGACGTACCAGAAGGACATCCCTAGGATGCCTCTTTTTGTGGAAAGCGGAAGTCCCTGGGACGTTCCTAGTATGAACCTTGTCCCGACACAGGATATCTCAGGGACGTCCTCGTAGAAAATGAGGGACGTTCCTGGGACGTTCATGGGACGTACTCGTGTTGTTAGGATCTATCATTTGCAAGGTTTTCTTGCCGTCGACCTCATTACTGTGTTTTACTTGGAGTGGTAAGAGGGTGACTAACCTACTATTCTTTGGTAAGAGTTCCTTATTCTGTGGCAGGTGAGACAATTAAGTAAATCGCAGCTCGACGAAAGCGAACTATCATCACTCTGTAACGACTTCGAGCCTTCCGCAAGGTTGGTTTGGTTGAAATGATATCCTGTAATGTTCAGAGAACATCGTGAGAACGAGGGAAATGAGGTAGGAATTGGTGTTCTTCTTGAATTTCTGGAGGTTATATATGCCTCGGGGAACAACTCTCTTGGTAATGTGCTCCAGAGCCTCGCTGTTCGTTGGATGAACGTGTCTTTGGAAAGAGATGTTCTGCAGGTCTCCAAAGTGACCACGAAGGGGTGCGACAACTTGACGGGTTAGTCTCGCGGGGACTGCCAAGGGAGGAACAATTGTTGATATTTTAGAAGAGCATTGTCCATGAAAATATCTATAAAATAGAGCCAGATCGCCAACTTTTCTAAGGTGTTCCAGAGATGTGAGTGAGTTTGTGAGCGAGGCATAACCCACGAGACGAATTGCCCTTTTTTGGACAGAATCCAACAGTTTCAGGGTATGTTTGGGTGCGCTGCATTCCAAACATGGGAACACACACACAATTTTAATGTCAAAAAGAGTTTTTTAAAGAAAGAAAACTCGAAGTCGTCTCTACAAGTTTAATTAAAAAGATGCAGTCAATCCTGCTTCAATAAGGTTTGAGACAAGTTTTGGTCATAAAAATGGCCAGCTTCAGTCAAATCGGTACATCAAAGTGTATGAGGAATGTTTTTTTCATCGTGAAGGCGAAAAATGGAGGAGAAAACCTTATATACAGATAAAGATTATTAAAGTTTTTTCCTTCTTTTTCCGCCTTCACGATGTTTTCAAAAAAACAAATTTGACTGAAGATGGCCATTTGAATGGCCGAAACATGTCTCAAACCTTATTGAAGCAGGATTGACTGCATCTTTCTAACATTAAACTTGTAGAGACGACTTCCAGTTTTCTTTCTTTGAAACAATTTTTGTGACACTTCACGTTGCCTTTTTAACACGCTTATACAGTGAGGACGTGAAAAGTTCTCTCCCCTTCAACTTTCAAACGGGACAAGCGAGCGAGGTAGGGTAACATTTAGGAAAGATGGTACCTCTTTTACTATTTTTTGGTTTTGAAGCCCTTTCGATTAAATTCAGAATGGCATTTTTCGGAAACTGGTCATTAAAAAATTATGAACCAGGGTACTCTTGGGTAGAGAATTGAATGCTCTACAAAATGATGTGCATCTTGACCCCCCCTCCTCCTAGGGGGATGAATCAAGACGGCTAAAAATATGCATTTGAAGAGCCCCTCTTGAAGATAAAATTGACCTGTCTCTGCAATCTTATTGACTGGAAGGAAGTTACCAAACGTGGAAAGTTTCCTAATAGACACGGCATTTTTTGGAAAGAGAAAATGAAAAACTAGGTTACCGTGGAAAAAAAAATGAACGCCCTTCAACATGATGTGCCATTTGACCCTCCTTGCCATTTGAGATTCTAAGTACCCCTCCCATAGGAAATTGAATCAAGAGGGCTAAAAATGATCATTTTAAGTTCTCCTTGAAAATACAATTTCGATTCTTCCAGGATCTTCAGGATTAGCGTTTTCTCGAATAAAATGGCGAATGATGTTTCGCCACAAAATTTCAAAATGTTCCTTCACCAAAATTTCAAATATTTGTTTCAAAGATATTTTTATATCCAGAGACACGTCAGAGTCTTACACCAAATGTATGTATTCTCTAAATGAGGAAATATTCACTTGGGTATGTCCAAAATTGTGGGGACCAGTATCCCTAGCGGCGGATGTGCGATTTCTGGGGCCCTAAGCTTAATAATTCTTGGGGCCCCTGCGGCCGCTACCCTCATTCCTCCTTCTGTTTTTCCCCACCAATTTTTCAATCATCATAAATACTATAACATTTAATGATGAAAAAATGAAACATTCATTGATAAAAACCAACAAAAATTAAATAAACGTAACTTATTATAAAGCTATGACTAGTATTAGATACCTATAGAAAATAAATTATTTTCAAGTTAATACAGCTACTAAACCAAAAAGAAATTACTAGGAGGAACATGATAATATTACGACATCACTCTTTATTTTCTGATTTTCGAATCTGCGAATCATTTGATTGCATCATCATAAAATTCAGACTGTTTGTCGAATCACTTTCGTTCGAAAGGATTGTAGTATTTTTTTCGGCAATACAGTTCTATATTTGATTTCAATCATTGTTAACTTTGAAAATCAATGATCTGCTTTGCAACTAGTCACTGGTAGTGTTAAAAACAAGTTCAAAGCGCTATTTCAATAGACGGGTGGACTATTTTTTTTAATGCTTGGATACAGTCGATCACCCAATAACCATTTGTAATGTAATTGCAAAAAATATGATGAAATACCATTTGGTACTCCAGAAATATTAGTTAGTCAATAGTTCAAACATTCTCAATTATCTGCTGGTGATATTCCTAATCATCAATAAGAAATCAAATGTCTCAAAATAATAATTATGTTAATACACATTAGGGAACATTTGAATCGGTGGACGTGACAGCACGGCACACGCATTGTGGGCGTGGACTTGTCAATTCTCAGCATTCAGCACAATGTAACAACATCTCTTTATGATAACTTGATTGTATTGAAAAGGAACATTCTCAGATATATTTATGAACACAAAAAAATGGATATATATATATAAAGAAATAGATTGAGAATTCGCATTCTCCATGTGATGAAAATAACAATTCTTTCACGGTTTATTCAACAGAAAACAACTATTTTCCTGGCTATATGCCACGACGAATATTGAATTACATCTATTGAACACACCCGATGAGACTTTGAAAACGAAATCTTCTGAAGTAGAGAATTTGCAATCTCCTTCATATAAAGATATACATATAATATAATTCTGAATATTCAACAGAAAACAACTACTTTTCTGGCTATTTGCCACATCGAACATTGAATTATATCTGTTGAATATTCAAAAAGAGAGCATGAAAAATCAAAATCCTCTGAAATTGAGGATTAACATCATCTCTCATCTCTCTATATTATTATATTTTCATATCATAATACATCATATTATGTACTG